GTTCGATGAATAATTCTGAGGTCAGGTGCATAATATTTGTTTTGGGCAAGCGCTGATCCAAGTGGTCGTTTGAGCAAGCAATTGATGTCATCACGTATGAATGGAAGACAAATGGTGACTAGTAGTTTTTCTGCTGAACAATTCGTTTGTCTGATCAATTTAGGCTTGCTGTGCTTTTCGATAAACGCATCGGGATAAGCGTTTCTAGTCAAAGATTCTTTCAGCTGTCGTAGTTCGTTGTCAATCATGTCATCTGTGCATATATGTCGTGCTGTTTGAAATAGTGTTCGGACCAGACCACGTTCATATTCCACAGACACAAAGCTGTCAAATTGCAAGCATTGGCCTGTCCAAGTTTCTTTTCGGTAAACAGATCTGGCCATTGTTCCATCATTATTCCTAGTGATTTTATTGTCGAGGAAGTGCAGTGTATCTTCGATTTCTGTTTCCATCGTAAATCGTATATTCGGATGCAGGCGATCGAGTTTATCCATAATCCATGTTGTCTCTTCTAGACTTATTGTGATGACTAGAACATGATCAACGTATCGTTTGTAAAGTTGTGAACGTTCGGGGATTTTGCTCGCCTTTTCCTCAAGATGAGCCAAAAACATATGTGCCAGAATGGGGCTCAATGGAGTTCGGATTGCGACACCGTCAATTTGTCTGTAAGCCCAACCAAGGAAGGAGAACGATACGTTTGTTGTGCACAGTAGTAATTGTCGTACCAGAACTGATACTGGTATACCGATTTTCAGTTGGTTTTGCTCCACATGATCACACATGATACGTATGACCTCCCGACCGGGAACATTCGTAAACAGTGATTGGAAATCAAATGAAGCCATGTGCTTCCCTTTCACATTGATCTGGTCCAAAAGCTTTACCACTTCGAAACTGTCTTTTTTATAGTGTGTCTGACCATTGATTTATGAACTGGCTCAAGCAATTTCTCCAGCCATTTGGCCAATTCGTGTTGTGGTGAATTTGTCATAGATAGTAGTAGTATTGGTCCAAGTGGCACTCCGGGTTTGTTTAGTTTCGGTAAACCATACAGTTGTGCACTTCGAGTTCCTTTTGGCTTCAGATGGTGAGCTGTGCTTTCATCGATGAAGTGTCCTTCTAGTAGAAACTGTACTGCTGTCGATATCTGTTGTTCTAGTTCTTTAGGGTCTTCACAGTCATCTTCGAGTACAAACTTGCTGGGATCATGAAGAACACTTTCCATCTTCTTCTCATAATCATTCCGATCGATCAGCACTGCTCCGGACCCCTTGTTAGGGCGTAAAACTAACAAATCAGGTCACAACTGTAGCTCTTCAATGGCGGATGTGAATGTGCTCAGGCGTGAAGAGTGACTTATGTTTGGACGATGTCATCCGGTACTGTCGTTCCAAGTCAACCAGCTTTGCTTTGAACCAAGTCTCCGCATCTTTTGAAGTTCGTTTGACTAATTGTAGTTGTTCGAATAGATATTCAAATTGCGCCTGTGTCTTTATGCTGGTCATTTTACTCGGTGGTATGCAGAAACGTAGACCACACGAAAGAGCCTGTAGTTGAAGTTCATTCGTTTAACCGGAGACAAATTCTTCACAAACCTTTCTGGTTGTTTCGGAAAATTTGGTTCGACTAACTTGTGGACGATGGAATTCTGAAGCTTGTTGAATGTACAAAGTTTGGCTTCTCGTATGTTTTCCATGCACAAGTTGGTAAATTTGATTCGGCTAACGAGGCTCAGTTCATCAAGAATTATTGATCATTCGATGCACGTGGTCTGAAGTGTCGTTAGATTTTCTTTATAATCATCAATCTGACATCGCATCAAACGTCTCAAATTCCTGGTAGAGGCACAGATTTTATTCCTCCGTAAGCGTTTGCAAAACGTAATCGGATATCTGTTGCAACGGGCACGTTGTTCCAGAAAATGAATACGGACTTGAGTTGTGGCAATTTCACATCTCAATCTGACTAGGTCATTGAGAGACCAAATGATTGATTTCGGGAGACGAGATCTGAGGAAATTTAAACATGCTTTTCCCGAAATAATCTTGAAAAGAAAAGCCACAGTTGCAACATTGCACGATTCGTGTCCGGGACGATTTCGCTGCATCTGAACATGGTGCACACTGCACAACCATACTGTTTATATAAGTTCATGTAAAACCATAATTTTCGACAAATATAGGGGAAATTTCAATAGTCAAGTTACGTCACCATGATAAAGACACATGAACAAAGAGCTGTTTGTGCTGACACAATATTAGGTTTCCATGAATGTATGGGAATGGTTTGAACAAACCTCAAAAGCCTGGTATTCTTTGCCACGTAAATGACCCGAAACGCAGTGCTTCGGTCAGCTGGATGTTGCGTCATCAGAAGATGACGAGCGACGGCCGACGGCCGACGGCGGACAGCCGACGACGGGATCTTATGGTTTCGAACGTTGTCATTATGCCTTTGATCTGACCCTGATTGCATCACAAAACGTTGTACCCAATTTGGAATATATTCAATCACTCGGTTACGTAACTGGCGCTCTGTTCGACCCACGTACGTTGCTCCGCAACTACACTGAAATTGGTAAATCAGATTCGATTTGGTGTACAGAGGTGGACGTTGTTTCACCGAGGGTGTGGGGATCTCAATCGTTCGATGAATAATTCTGAGGTCAGGTGCATAATATTTGTTTTGGGCAAGCGCTGATCCAAGTGGTCGTTTGAGCAAGCAATTGATGTCATCACGTATGAATGGAAGACAAATGGTGACTAGTAGTTTTTCTGCTGAACAATTCGTATGTCTGATCAATTTAGGCTTGCTGTGCTTTTCGATAAACGCATCGGGATAAGCGTTTCTAGTCAAAGATTCTTTCAGCTGTCGTAGTTCGTTGTCAATCATGTCTTCTGTGCAGATATGTCGTGCTGTTTGAAATAGTGTTCGGACCAGACCACGTTCATATTCCACAGACACAAAGCTGTCAAATTGCAAGCATTGGCCTGTCCAAGTTTCTTTTCGGTAAACAGATCTGGCCATTGTTCCATCATTATTCCTAGTCATTTTAATGTCGAGGAAGTGCAGTGTATCTTCGATTTCTGTTTCCATCGTAAATCGTATATTCGGATGCAGGCGATCGAGTTTATCCATAATCCATGTTGTCTCTTCTAGACTTATTGTGATGACTAGAACATGATCAACGTATCGTTTGTAAAGTTGTGAACGTTCGAGGATTTTGCTCGCCTTTTCCTCAAGATGAGCCAAAAACATATGTGCCAGAATGGGGCTCAATGGAGTTCGGATTGCGACACCGTCAATTTGTCTGTAAGCCCAACCAAGGAAGGAGAACGATACGTTTGTTGTGCACAGTAGTAATTGTCGTACCAGAACTGATACTGGTATACCGATTTTCAGTTGGTTTTGCTCCACATGATCACACATGATACGTATGACCTCCCGACCGGGAACATTCGTAAACAGTGATTGGAAATCAAATGAAGCCATGTGCTTCCCTTTCACATTGATCTGGTCCAAAAGCTTTACCACTTCGAAACTGTCTTTTTTATAGTGTGTCTGACCATTGATTTATGAACTGGCTCAAGCAATTTCTCCAGCCATTTGGCCAATTCGTGTTGTGGTGAATTTGTCATAGATAGTAGTAGTATTGGTCCAAGTGGCACTCCGGGTTTGTTTAGTTTCGGTAAACCATACAGTTGTGCACTTCGAGTTCCTTTTGGCTTCAGATGGTGAGCTGTGCTTTCATCGATGAAGTGTCCTTCTAGTAGAAACTGTACTGCTGTCGATATCTGTTGTTCTAGTTCTTTAGGGTCTTCACAGTCATCTTCGAGTACAAACTTGCTGGGATCATGAAGAACACTTTCCATCTTCTTCTCATAATCATTCCGATCGATCAGCACTGCTCCGGACCCCTTGTTAGGGCGTAAAACTAACAAATCAGGTCACAACTGTAGCTCTTCAATGGCGGATGTGAATGTGCTCAGGCGTGAAGAGTGACTTATGTTTGGACGATGTCATCCGGTACTGTCGTTCCAAGTCAACCAGCTTTGCTTTGAACCAAGTCTCCGCATCTTTTGAAGTTCGTTTGACTAATTGTAGTTGTTCGAATAGATATTCAAATTGCGCCTGTGTCTTTATGCTGGTCATTTTACTCGGTGGTATGCAGAAACGTAGACCACACGAAAGAGCCTGTAGTTGAAGTTCATTCGTTTAACCGGAGACAAATTCTTCCCAAACCTTTCTGGTTGTTTCGGAAAATGTGGTTCGACTAACTTGTGGACGATGGAATTCTGAAGCTTGTTGAATGTACAAAGTTTGGCTTCTCGTATGTTTTCCATGCACAAGTTGGTAAATTTGATTCGGCTAACGAGGCTCAGTTCGTCAAGAATTATTGATCATTCGATGCACGTGGTCTGAAGTGTCGTTAGATTTTCTGTATAATCATCAATCTGACATCGCATCAAACGTCTCAAATTCCTGGTAGAGGCACAGATTTTATTCCTCCGTAAGCGTTTGCAAAACGTAATCGGATATCTGTTGCAACGGGCACGTTGTTCCAGAAAATGAATACGGACTTGAGTTGTGGCAATTTCACATCTCAATCTGACTAGGTCATCGAGAGACCAAATGGTTGATTTCGGGAGACGAGATCTGAGGAAATTTAAACATGCTTTTCCCGAAATAATCTTGAAAAGAAAAGCCACAGTTGCAACATTGCACGATTCGTGTCCGGGACGATTTCGCTGCATCTGAACATGGTGCACACTGCACAACCATACTGTTTATATAAATTCATGTAAAACCATAATTTTCGACAAATATAGGGGAAATTTCAATAGTCAAGTTACGTCACCATGATAAAGACACATGAACAAAGAGCTGTTTGTGCTAACACAATATTAGGTTTCCATGAATGTATGGCAATGGTTTGAACAAACCTCAAAAGCCTGGTATTCTTTGCCACGTAAATGACCCGAAACGCAGTGCTTCGGTCAGCTGGATGTTGCGTCATCAGAAGATGACGAGCGACGGCCGACAGCCGACGACGGGATCTTATGGTTTCGAACGTTGTCATTATGCCTTTGATCTGACCCTGATTGCATCACAAAACGTTGTACCCAATTTGGAATATATTCAATCACTCGGTTACGTAACTGGCGCTCTGTTCGACCCACGTAGGTTGCTCCGCAACTACACTGAAATTGGTAAATCAGATTCGATTTGGTGTACAGAGGTGGACGTTGTTTCACCGAGGGTGTGGGGATCTCAATCGTTCGATGAATAATTCTGAGGTCAGGTGCATAATATTTGTTTTTGGCAAGCGCTGATCCAAGTGGTCGTTTGAGCAAGCAATTGATGTCATCACGTATGAATGGAAGACAAATGGTGACTAGTAGTTTTTCTGCTGAACAATTCGTTTGTCTGATCAATTTAGGCTTGCTGTGCTTTTCGATAAACGCATCGGGATAAGCGTTTCTAGTCAAAGATTCTTTCAGCTGTCGTAGTTCGTTGTCAATCATGTCTTCTGTGCAGATATGTCGTGCTGTTTGAAATAGTGTTCGGACCAGACCACGTTCATATTCCACAGACACAAAGCTGTCAAATTGCAAGCATTGGCCTGTCCAAGTTTCTTTTCGGTAAACAGATCTGGCCATTGTTCCATCATTATTCCTAGTGATTTTAATGTCGAGGAAGTGCAGTGTATCTTCGATTTCTGTTTCCATCGTAAATCGTATATTCGGATGCAGGCGATCGAGTTTATCCATAATCCATGTTGTCTCTTCTAGACTTATTGTGATGACTAGAACATGATCAACGTATCGTTTGTAAAGTTGTGAACGTTCGGGGATTTTGCTCGCCTTTTCCTCAAGATGAGCCAAAAACATATGTGCCAGAATGGGGCTCAATGGAGTTCCGATTGCGACACCGTCAATTTGTCTGTAAGCCCAACCAAGGAAGGAGAACGATACGTTTGTTGTGCACAGTAGTAATTGTCGTACCAGAACTGATACTGGTATACCGATTTTCAGTTGGTTTTGCTCCACATGATCACACATGATACGTATGACCTCCCGACCGGGAACATTCGTAAACAGTGATTGGAAATCAAATGAAGCCATGTGCTTCCCTTTCACATTGATCTGGTCCAAAAGCTTTACCACTTCGAAACTGTCTTTTTTATAGTGTGTCTGACCATTGATTTATGAACTGGCTCAAGCAATTTCTCCAGCCATTTGGCCAATTCGTGTTGTGGTGAATTTGTCATAGATAGTAGTAGTATTGGTCCAAGTGGCACTCCGGGTTTGTTTAGTTTCGGTAAACCATACAGTTGTGCACTTCGAGTTCCTTTTGGCTTCAGATGGTGAGCTGTGCTTTCATCGATGAAGTGTCCTTCTAGTAGAAACTGTACTGCTGTCGATATCTGTTGTTCTAGTTCTTTAGGGTCTTCACAGTCATCTTCGAGTACAAACTTGCTGGGATCATGAAGAACACTTTCCATCTTCTTCTCATAATCATTCCGATCGATCAGCACTGCTCCGGACCCCTTGTTAGGGCGTAAAACTAACAAATCAGGTCACAACTGTAGCTCTTCAATGGCGGATGTGAATGTGCTCAGGCGTGAAGAGTGACTTATGTTTGGACGATGTCATCCGGTACTGACGTTCCAAGTCAACCAGCTTTGCTTTGAACCAAGTCTCCGCATCTTTTGAAGTTCGTTTGACTAATTGTAGTTGTTCGAATAGATATTCAAATTGCGCCTGTGTCTTTATGCTGGTCATTTTACTCGGTGGTATGCAGAAACGTAGACCACACGAAAGAGCCTGTAGTTGAAGTTCATTCGTTTAACCGGAGACAAATTCTTCACAAACCTTTCTGGTTGTTTCGGAAAATTTGGTTCGACTGACTTGTGGACGATGGAATTCTGAAGCTTGTTGAATGTACAAAGTTTGGCTTCTCGTATGTTTTCCATGCACAAGTTGGTAAATTTGATTCGGCTAACGAGGCTCGGTTCGTCAAGAATTATTGATCATTCGATGCACGTGGTCTGAAGTGTCGTTAGATTTTCTTTATAATCATCAATCTGACATCGCATCAAACGTCTCAAATTCCTGGTAGAGGCACAGATTTTATTCCTCCGTAAGCGTTTGCAAAACGTAATCGGATATCTGTTGCAACGGGCACGTTGTTCCAGAAAATGAATACGGACTTGAGTTGTGGCAATTTCACATCTCAATCTGACTAGGTCATTGAGAGACCTAATGGTTGATTTCGGGAGACGAGATCTGAGGAAATTTAAACATGCTTTTCCCGAAATAATCTTGAAAAGAAAAGCCACAGTTGCAACATTGCACGATTCGTGTCCGGGACGATTTCGCTGCATCTGAACATGGTGCACACTGCACAACCATACTGTTTATATAAGTTCATGTAAAACCATAATTTTCGACAAATATAGGGGAAATTTCAATAGTCAAGTTACGTCACCATGATAAAGACACATGAACAAAGAGCTGTTTGTGCTGACACAATATTAGGTTTCCATGAATGTATGGGAATGGTTTGAACAAACCTCAAAAGCCTGGTATTCTTTGCCACGTAAATGACCCGAAACGCAGTGCTTCGGTCAGCTGGATGTTGCGTCATCAGAAGATGACGAGCGACGGCCGACGGCCGACGGCCGACAGCCGACGACGGGATCTTATGGTTTCGAACGTTGTCATTATGCCTTTGATCTGACCCTGATTGCATCACAAAACGTTGTACCCAATTTGGAATATATTCAATCACTCGGTTACGTAACTGGCGCTCTGTTCGACCCACGTAGGTTGCTCCGCAACTACACTGAAATTGGTAAATCAGATTCGATTTGGTGTACAGAGGTGGACGTTGTTTCACCGAGGGTGTGGGGATCTCAATCGTTCGATGAATAATTCTGAGGTCAGGTGCATAATATTTGTTTTGGGCAAGCGCTGATCCAAGTGGTCGTTTGAGCAAGCAATTGATGTCATCACGTATGAATGGAAGACAAATGGTGACTAGTAGTTTTTCTGCTGAACAATTCGTTTGTCTGATCAATTTAGGCTTGCTGTGCTTTTCGATAAACGCATCGGGATAAGCGTTTCTAGTCAAAGATTCTTTCAGCTGTCGTAGTTCGTTGTCAATCATGTCTTCTGTGCAGATATGTCGTGCTGTTTGAAATAGTGTTCGGACCAGACCACGTTCATATTCCACAGACACAAAGCTGTCAAATTGCAAGCATTGGCCTGTCCAGGTTTCTTTTCGGTAAACAGATCTGGCCATTGTTCCATCATTATTCCTAGTGATTTTAATGTCGAGGAAGTGCAGTGTATCTTCGATTTCTGTTTCCATCGTAAATCGTATATTCGGATGCAGGCGATCGAGTTTGTCCATAATCCATGTTGTCTCTTCTAGACTTATTGTGATGACTAGAACATGATCAACGTATCGTTTGTAAAGTTGTGAACGTTCGGGGATTTTGCTCGCCTTTTCCTCAAGATGAGCCAAAAACATATGTGCCAGAATGGGGCTCAATGGAGTTCGGATTGCGACACCGTCAATTTGTCTGTAAGCCCAACCAAGGAAGGAGAACGATACGTTTGTTGTGCACAGTAGTAATTGTCGTACCAGAACTGATACTGGTATACCGATTTTCAGTTCGTTTTGCTCCACATGATCACACATGATACGTATGACCTCCCGACCGGGAACATTCGTAAACAGTGATTGGAAATCAAATGAAGCCATGTGCTTCCCTTTCACATTGATCTGGTCCAAAAGCTTTACCACTTCGAAACTGTCTTTTTTATAGTGTGTCTGACCATTGATTTATGAACTGGCTCAAGCAATTTCTCCAGCCATTTGGCCAATTCGTGTTGTGGTGAATTTGTCATAGATAGTAGTAGTATTGGTCCAAGTGGCACTCCGGGTTTGTTTAGTTTCGGTAAACCATACAGTTGTGCACTTCGAGTTCCTTTTGGCTTCAGATGGTGAGCTGTGCTTTCATCGATGAAGTGTCCTTCTAGTAGAAACTGTACTGCTGTCGATATCTGTTGTTCTAGTTCTTTAGGGTCTTCACAGTCATCTTCGAGTACAAACTTGCTGGGATCATGAAGAACACTTTCCATCTTCTTCTCATAATCATTCCGATCGATCAGCACTGCTCCGGACCCCTTGTTAGGGCGTAAAACTAACAAATCAGGTCACAACTGTAGCTCTTCAATGGCGGATGTGAATGTGCTCAGGCGTGAAGAGTGACTTATGTTTGGACGATGTCATCCGGTACTGTCGTTCCAAGTCAACCAGCTTTGCTTTGAACCAAGTCTCCGCATCTTTTGAAGTTCGTTTGACTAATTGTAGTTGTTCGAATAGATATTCAAATTGCGCCTGTGTCTTTATGCTGGTCATTTTACTCGGTGGTATGCAGAAACGTAGACCACACGAAAGAGCCTGTAGTTGAAGTTCATTCGTTTAACCGGAGACAAATTCTTCACAAACCTTTCTGGTTGTTTCGGAAAATTTGGTTCGACTGACTTGTGGACGATGGAATTCTGAAGCTTGTTGAATGTACAAAGTTTGGCTTCTCGTATGTTTTCCATGCACAAGTTGGTAAATTTGATTCGGCTAACGAGGCTCGGTTCGTCAAGAATTATTGATCATTCGATGCACGTGGTCTGAAGTGTCGTTAGATTTTCTTTATAATCATCAATCTGACATCGCATCAAACGTCTCAAATTCCTGGTAGAGGCACAGATTTTATTCCTCCGTAAGCGTTTGCAAAACGTAATCGGATATCTGTTGCAACGGGCACGTTGTTCCAGAAAATGAATACGGACTTGAGTTGTGGCAATTTCACATCTCAATCTGACTAGGTCATTGAGAGACCTAATGGTTGATTTCGGGAGACGAGATCTGAGGAAATTTAAACATGCTTTTCCCGAAATAGTCTTGAAAAGAAAAGCCACAGTTGCAACATTGCACGATTCGTGTCCGGGACGATTTCGCTGCATCTGAACATGGTGCACACTGCACAACCATACTGTTTATATAAGTTCATGTAAAACCATAATTTTCGACAAATATAGGGGAAATTTCAATAGTCAAGTTACGTCACCATGATAAAGACACATGAACAAAGAGCTGTTTGTGCTGACACAATATTAGGTTTCCATGAATGTATGGGAATGGTTTGAACAAACCTCAAAAGCCTGGTATTCTTTGCCACGTAAATGACCCGAAACGCAGTGCTTCGGTCAGCTGGATGTTGCGTCATCAGAAGATGACGAGCGACGGCCGACGGCCGACGGCGGACAGCCGACGACGGGATCTTATGGTTTCGAACGTTGTCATTATGCCTTTGATCTGACCCTGATTGCATCACAAAACGTTGTACCCAATTTGGAATATATTCAATCACTCGGTTACGTAACTGGCGCTCTGTTCGACCCACGTAGGTTGCTCCGCAACTACACTGAAATTGGTAAATCAGATTCGATTTGGTGTACAGAGGTGGACGTTGTTTCACCGAGGGTGTGGGGATCTCAATCGTTCGATGAATAATTCTGAGGTCAGGTGCATAATATTTGTTTTGGGCAAGCGCTGATCCAAGTGGTCGTTTGAGCAAGCAATTGATGTCATCACGTATGAATGGAAGACAAATGGTGACTAGTAGTTTTTCTGCTGAACAATTCGTTTGTCTGATCAATTTAGGCTTGCTGTGCTTTTCGATAAACGCATCGGGATAAGCGTTTCTAGTCAAAGATTCTTTCAGCTGTCGTAGTTCGTTGTCAATCATGTCTTCTGTGCAGATATGTCGTGCTGTTTGAAATAGTGTTCGGACCAGACCACGTTCATATTCCACAGACACAAAGCTGTCAAATTGCAAGCATTGGCCTGTCCAGGTTTCTTTTCGGTAAACAGATCTGGCCATTGTTCCATCATTATTCCTAGTGATTTTAATGTCGAGGAAGTGCAGTGTATCTTCGATTTCTGTTTCCATCGTAAATCGTATATTCGGATGCAGGCGATCGAGTTTATCCATAATCCATGTTGTCTCTTCTAGACTTATTGTGATGACTAGAACATGATCAACGTATCGTTTATAAAGTTGTGAACGTTCGAGGATTTTGCTCGCCTTTTCCTCAAGATGAGCCAAAAACATATGTGCCAGAATGGGGCTCAATGGAGTTCGGATTGCGACACCGTCAATTTGTCTGTAAGCCCAACCAAGGAAGGAGAACGATACGTTTGTTGTGCACAGTAGTAATTGTCGTACCAGAACTGATACTGGTATACCGATTTTCAGTTGGTTTTGCTCCACATGATCACACATGATACGTATGACCTCCCGACCGGGAACATTCGTAAACAGTGATTGGAAATCAAATGAAGCCATGTGCTTCCCTTTCACATTGATCTGGTCCAAAAGCTTTACCACTTCGAAACTGTCTTTTTTATAGTGTGTCTGACCATTGATTTATGAACTGGCTCAAGCAATTTCTCCAGCCATTTGGCCAATTCGTGTTGTGGTGAATTTGTCATAGATAGTAGTAGTATTGGTCCAAGTGGCACTCCGGGTTTGTTTAGTTTCGGTAAACCATACAGTTGTGCACTTCGAGTTCCTTTTGGCTTCAGATGGTGAGCTGTGCTTTCATCGATGAAGTGTCCTTCTAGTAGAAACTGTACTGCTGTCGATATCTGTTGTTCTAGTTCTTTAGGGTCTTCACAGTCATCTTCGAGTACAAACTTGCTGGGATCATGAAAAACACTTTCCATCTTCTTCTCATAATCATTCCGATCGATCAGCACTGCTCCGGACCCCTTGTTAGGGCGTAAAACTAACAAATCAGGTCACAACTGTAGCTCTTCAATGGCGGATGTGAATGTGCTCAGGCGTGAAGAGTGACTTATGTTTGGACGATGTCATCCGGTACTGTCGTTCCAAGTCAACCAGCTTTGCTTTGAACCAAGTCTCCGCATCTTTTGAAGTTCGTTTGACTAATTGTAGTTGTTCGAATAGATATTCAAATTGCGTCTGTGTCTTTATGCTGGTCATTTTACTCGGTGGTATGCAGAAACGTAGACCACACGAAAGAGCCTGTAGTTGAAGTTCATTCGTTCAACCGGAGACAAATTCTTCACAAACCTTTCTGGTTGTTTCGGAAAATTTGGTTCGACTAACTTGTGGACGATGGAATTCTGAAGCTTGTTGAATGTACAAAGTTTGGCTTCTCGTATGTTTTCCATGCACAAGTTGGTAAATTTGATTCGGCTAACGAGGCTCAGTTCGTCAAGAATTATTGATCATTCGATGCACGTGGTCTGAAGTGTCGTTAGATTTTCTTTATAATCATCAATCTGACATCGCATCAAACGTCTCAAATTCCTGGTAGAGGCACAGATTTTATTCCTCCGTAAGCGTTTGCAAAACGTAATCGGATATCTGTTGCAACGGGCACGTTGTTCCAGAAAATGAATACGGACTTGAGTTGTGGCAATTTCACATCTCAATCTGACTAGGTCATCGAGAGACCTAATGGTTGATTTCGGGAGACGAGATCTGAGGAAATTTAAACACGCTTTTCCCGAAATAATCTTGAAAAGAAAAGACACAGTTACAACATTGCACGATTCGTGTCCGGGACGATTTCGCTGCATCTGAACATGGTGCACACTGTACAACCATACTGTTTATATAAGTTCATGTAAAACCATAATTTTCGACAAATATAGGGGAAATTTCAATAGTCAAGTTACGTCACCATGATAAAGACACATGAACAAAGAGCTGTTTGTGCTGACACAATATTAGGTTTCCATGAATGTATGGCAATGGTTTGAACAAACCTCAAAAGCCTGGTATTCTTTGCCACGTAAATGACCCGAAACGCAGTGGTTCGGTCAGCTGGATGTTGCGTCATCAGAAGATGACGAGCGACGGCCGACGGCCGACGGCCGACAGCCGACGACGGGATCTTATGGTTTCGAACGTTGTCATTATGCCTTTGATCTGACCCTGATTGCATCACAAAACGTTGTACCCAATTTGGAATATATTCAATCACTCGGTTACGTAACTGGCGCTCTGTTCGACCCAAGTAGGTTGCTCCGCAACTACACTGAAATTGGTAAATCAGATTCGATTTGGTGTACATTGGTGGACGTTGTTTCACCGAGGGTGTGGGGATCTCAATCGTTCGATGAATAATTCTGAGGTCAGGTGCATAATATTTGTTTTTGGCAAGCGCTGATCCAAGTGGTCGTTTGAGCAAGCAATTGATGTCATCACGTATGAATGGAAGACAAATGGTGACTAGTAGTTTTTCTGCTGAACAATTCGTTTGTCTGATCAATTTAGGCTTGCTGTGCTTTTCGATAAACGCATCGGGATAAGCGTTTCTAGTCAAAGATTCTTTCAGCTGTCGTAGTTCGTTGTCAATCATGTCTTCTGTGCAGATATGTCGTGCTGTTTGAAATAGTGTTCGGACCAGACCACGTTCATATTCCACAGACACAAAGCTGTCAAATTGCAAGCATTGGCCTGTCCAGGTTTCTTTTCGGTAAACAGATCTGGCCATTGTTCCATCATTATTCCTAGTCATTTTAATGTCGAGGAAGTGCAGTGTATCTTCGATTTCTGTTTCCATCGTAAATCGTATATTCGGATGCAGGCGATCGAGTTTGTCCATAATCCATGTTGTCTCTTCTAGACTTATTGTGATGACTAGAACATGATCAACGTATCGTTTGTAAAGTTGTGAACGTTCGAGGATTTTGCTCGCCTTTTCCTCAAGATGAGCCAAAAACATATGTGCCAGAATGGGGCTCAATGGAGTTCGGATTGCGACACCGTCAATTTGTCTGTAAGCCCAACCAAGGAAGGAGAACGATACGTTTGTTGTGCACAGTAGTAATTGTCGTACCAGAACTGATACTGGTATACCGATTTTCAGTTGGTTTTGCTCCACATGATCACACATGATACGTATGACCTCCCGACCGGGAACATTCGTAAACAGTGATTGGAAATCAAATGAAGCCATGTGCTTCCCTTTCACATTGATCTGGTCCAAAAGCTTTACCACTTCGAAACTGTCTTTTTTATAGTGTGTCTGACCATTGATTTATGAACTGGCTCAAGCAATTTCTCCAGCCATTTGGCCAATTCGTGTTGTGGTGAATTTGTCATAGATAGTAGTAGTATTGGTCCAAGTGGCACTCCGGGTTTGTTTAGTTTCGGTAAACCATACAGTTGTGCACTTCGAGTTCCTTTTGGCTTCAGATGGTGAGCTGTGCTTTCATCGATGAAGTGTCCTTCTAGTAGAAACTGTACTGCTGTCGATATCTGTTGTTCTAGTTCTTTAGGGTCTTCACAGTCATCTTCGAGTACAAACTTGCTGGGATCATGAAGAACACTTTCCATCTTCTTCTCATAATCATTCCGATCGATCAGCACTGCTCCGGACCCCTTGTTAGGGCGTAAAACTAACAAATCAGGTCACAACTGTAGCTCTTCAATGGCGGATGTGAATGTGCTCAGGCGTGAAGAGTGACTTATGTTTGGACGATGTCATCCGGTACTGTCGTTCCAAGTCAACCAGCTTTGCTTTGAACCAAGTCTCCGCATCTTTTGAAGTTCGTTTGACTAATTGTAGTTGTTCGAATAGATATTCAAATTGCGCCTGTGTCTTTATGCTGGTCATTTTACTCGGTGGTATGCAGAAACGTAGACCACACGAAAGAGCTTGTAGTTGAAGTTCATTCGTTCAACCGGAGACAAATTCTTCACAAACCTTTCTGGTTGTTTCGGAAAATTTGGTTCGACTAACTTGTGGACGATGGAATTCTGAAGCTTGTTGAATGTACAAAGTTTGGCTTCTCGTATGTTTTCCATGCACAAGTTGGTAAATTTGATTCGGCTAACGAGGCTCAGTTCGTCAAGAATTATTGATCATTCGATGCACGTGGTCTGAAGTGTCGTTAGATTTTCTTTATAATCATCAATCTGACATCGCATCAAACGTCTCAAATTCCTGGTAGAGGCACAGATTTTATTCCTCCGTAAGCGTTTGCAAAACGTAATCGGATATCTGTTGCAACGGGCACGTTGTTCCAGAAAATGAATACGGACTTGAGTTGTGGCAATTTCACATCTCAATCTGACTAGGTCATCGAGAGACCTAATGGTTGATTTCGGGAGACGAGATCTGAGGAAATTTAAACATGCTTTTCCCGAAATAATCTTGAAAAGAAAAGCCACAGTTGCAACATTGCACGATTCGTGTCCGGGACGATTTCGCTGCATCTGAACATGGTGCACACTGCACAACCATACTGTTTATATAAGTTCATGTAAAACCATAATTTTCGACAAATATAGGGGAAATTTCAATAGTCAAGTTACGTCACCATGATAAAGACACATGAACAAAGAGCTGTTTGTGCTGACACAATATTAGGTTTCCATGAATGTATGGGAATGGTTTGAACAAACCTCAAAAGCCTGGTATTCTTTGCCACGTAAATGACCCGAAACGCAGTGCTTCGGTCAGCTGGATGTTGCGTCATCAGAAGATGACGAGCGACGGCCGACGGCCGACGGCCGACAGCCGACGACGGGATCTTATGGTTTCGAACGTTGTCATTATGCCTTTGATCTGACCCTGATTGCATCACAAAACGTTGTACCCAATTTGGAATATATTCAATCACTCGGTTACGTAACTGGCGCTCTGTTCGACCCAAGTAGGTTGCTTCGCAACTACACTGAAATTGGTAAATCAGATTCGATTTGGTGTACAGAGGTGGACGTTGTTTCACCGAGGGTGTGGGGATCTCAATCGTTCGATGAATAATTCTGAGGTCAGGTGCATAATATTTGTTTTGGGCAAGCGCTGATCCAAGTGGTCGTTTGAGCAAGCAATTGATGTCATCACGTATGAATGGAAGACAAATGGTGACTAGTAGTTTTTCTGCTGAACAATTCGTTTGTCTGATCAATTTAGGCTTGCTGTGCTTTTCGATAAACGCATCGGGATAAGCGTTTCTAGTCAAAGATTCTTTCAGCTGTCGTAGTTCGTTGTCAATCATGTCTTCTGTGCAGATATGTCGTGCTGTTTGAAATAGTGTTCGGACCAGACCACGTTCATATTCCACAGACACAAAGCTGTCAAATTGCAAGCATTGGCCTGTCCAGGTTTCTTTTCGGTAAACAGATCTGGCCATTGTTCCATCATTATTCCTAGTGATTTTAATGTCGAGGAAGTGCAGTGTATCTTCGATTTCTGTTTCCATCGTAAATCGTATATTCGGATGCAGGCGATCGAGTTTGTCCATAATCCATGTTGTCTCTTCTAGACTTATTGTGATGACTAGAACATGATCAACGTATCGTTTGTAAAGTTGTGAACGTTCGAGGATTTTGCTCGCCTTTTCCTCAAGATGAGCAAAAAACATATGTGCCAGAATGGGGCTCAATGGAGTTCCGATTGCGACACCGTCAATTTGTCTGTAAGCCCAACCAAGGAAGGAGAACGATACGTTTGTTGTGCACAGTAGTAATTGTCGTACCAGAACTGATACTGGTATACCGATTTTCAGTTGGTTTTGCTCCACATGATCACACATGATACGTATGACCTCCCGACCGGGAACATTCGTAAACAGTGATTGGAAATCAAATGAAGCCATGTGCTTCCCTTTCACATTGATCTGGTCCAAAAGCTTTACCACTTCGAAACTGTCTTTTTTATAGTGTGTCTGACCATTGATTTATGAACTGGCTCAAGCAATTTCTCCAGCCATTTGGCCAATTCGTGTTGTGGTGAATTTGTCATAGATAGTAGTAGTATTGGTCCAAGTGGCACTCCGGGTTTGTTTAGTTTCGGTAAACCATACAGTTGTGCACTTCGAGTTCCTTTTGGCTTCAGATGGTGAGCTGTGCTTTCATCGATGAAGTGTCCTTCTAGTAGAAACTGTACTGCTGTCGATATCTGTTGTTCTAGTTCTTTAGGGTCTTCACAGTCATCTTCGAGTACAAACTTGCTGGGATCATGAAGAACACTTTCCATCTTCTTCTCATAATCATTCCGATCGATCAGCACTGCTCCGGACCCCTTGTTAGGGCGTAAAACTAACAAATCAGGTCACAACTGTAGCTCTTCAATGGCGGATGTGAATGTGCTCAGGCGTGAAGAGTGACTTATGTTTGGACGATGTCATCCGGTACTGTCGTTCCAAGTCAACCAGCTTTGCTTTGAACCAAGTCTCCGCATCTTTTGAAGTTCGTTTGACTAATTGTAGTTGTTCGAATAGATATTCAAATTGCGTCTGTGTCTTTATGCTGGTCATTTTACTCGGTGGTATGCAGAAACGTAGACCACACGAAAATGCCTGTAGTTGAAGTTCATTCGTTTAACCGGAGACAAATTCTTCACAAACCTTTCTGGTTGTTTCGGAAAATTTGGTTCGACTAACTTGTGGACGATGGAATTCTGAAGCTTGTTGAATGTACAAAGTTTGGCTTCTCGTATGTTTTCCATGCACAAGTTGGTAAATTTGATTCGGCTAACGAGGCTCAGTTCGTCAAGAATTATTGATCATTCGATGCACGTGGTCTGAAGTGTCGTTAGATTTTCTTTATAATCATCAATCTGACATCGCATCAAACGTCTCAAATTCCTGGTAGAGGCACAGATTTTATTCCTCCGTAAGCGTTTGCAAAACGTAATCGGATATCTGTTGCAACGGGCACGTTGTTCCAGAAAATGAATACGGACTTGAGTTGTGGCAATTTCACATCTCAATCTGACTAGGTCATCGAGAGACCAAATGATTGATTTCGGGAGACGAGATCTGAGGAAATTTAAACATGCATTTCCCGAAATAGTCTTGAAAAGAAAAGCCACAGTTGCAACATTGCACGATTCGTGTCCGGGACGATTTCGCTGCATCTGAACATGGTGCACACTGTACAACCATACTGTTTATATAAGTTCATGTAAAACCATAATTTTCGACAAATATAGGGGAAATTTCAATAGTCAAGTTACGTCAACATGATAAAGACACATGAACACAGAGCTGTTTGTGCTGACACAATATTAGGTTTCCATGAATGTATGGCAATGGTTTGAACAAACCTCAAAAGCCTGGTATTCTTTGCCACGTAAATGACCCGAAACGCAGTGGTTCGGTCAGCTGGATGTTGCGTCATCAGAAGATGACGAGCGACGGCCGACGGCCGACGGCCGACAGCCGACGACGGGATCTTATGGTTTCGAACGTTGTCATTATGCCTTTGATCTGACCCTGATTGCATCACAAAACGTTGTACCCAATTTGGAATATATTCAATCACTCGGTTACGTAACTGGCGCTCTGTTCGACCCACGTAGGTTGCTCCGCAACTACACTGAAATTGGTAAATCAGATTCGATTTGGTGTACATTGGTGGACGTTGTTTCACCGAGGGTGTGGGGATCTCAATCGTTCGATGAATAATTCTGAGGTCAGGTGCATAATATTTGTTTTGGGCAAGCGCTGATCCAAGTGGTCGTTTGAGCAAGCAATTGATGTCATCACGTATGAATGGAAGACAAAGGGTGACTAGTAGTTTTTCTGCTGAACAATTCGTTTGTCTGATCAATTTGGGCTTGCTGTGCTTTTCGATAAACGCATCGGGATAAGCGTTTCTAGTAAAAGATTCTTTCAGCTGTCGTAGTTCGTTGTCAATCATGTCTTCTGTGCAGATATGTCGTGCTGTTTGAAATAGTGTTCGGACCAGACCACGTTCATATTCCACAGACACAAAGCTGTCAATTTGCAAGCATTGGCCTGTCCAAGTTTCTTTTCGGTAAACAGATCTGGCCATTGTTCCATCATTATTCCTAGTGATTTTAATGTCGAGGAAGTGCAGTGTATCTTCGATTTCTGTTTCCATCGTAAATCGTATATTCGGATGCAGGCGATCGAGTTTATCCATAATCCATGTTGTCTCTTCTAGACTTATTGTGATGACTAGAACATGATCAACGTATCGTTTATAAAGTTGTGAACGTTCGAGGATTTTGCTCGCCTTTTCCTCAAGATGAGCCAAAAACATATGTGCCAGAATGGGGCTCAATGGAGTTCGGATTGCGACACCGTCAATTTGTCTGTAAGCCCAACCAAGGAAGGAGAACGATACGTTTGTTGTGCACAGTAGTAATTGTCGTACCAGAACTGATACTGGTATACCGATTTTCAGTTCGTTTTGCTCCACATGATCACACATGATACGTATGACCTCCCGACCGGGAACATTCGTAAACAGTGATTGGAAATCAAATGAAGCCATGTGCTTCCCTTTCACATTGATCTGGTCCAAAAGCTTTACCACTTCGAAACTGTCTTTTTTATAGTGTGTCTGACCATTGATTTATGAACTGGCTCAAGCAATTTCTCCAGCCATTTGGCCAATTCGTGTTGTGGTGAATTTGTCATAGATAGTAGTAGTATTGGTCCAAGTGGCACTCCGGGTTTGTTTAGTTTCGGTAAACCATACAGTTGTGCACTTCGAGTTCCTTTTGGCTTCAGATGGTGAGCTGTGCTTTCATCGATGAAGTGTCCTTCTAGTAGAAACTGTACTGCTGTCGATATCTGTTGTTCTAGTTCTTTAGGGTCTTCACAGTCATCTTCGAGTACAAACTTGCTGGGATCATGAAGAACACTTTCCATCTTCTTCTCATAATCATTCCGATCGATCAGCACTGCTCCGGACCCCTTGTTAGGGCGTAAAACTAACAAATCAGGTCACAACTGTAGCTCTTCAATGGCGGATGTGAATGTGCTCAGGCGTGAAGAGTGACTTATGTTTGGACGATGTCATCCGGTACTGTCGTTCCAAGTCAACCAGCTTTGCTTTGAACCAAGTCTCCGCATCTTTTGAAGTTCGTTTGACTAATTGTAGTTGTTCGAATAGATATTCAAATTGCGCCTGTGTCTTTATGCTGGTCATTTTACTCGGTGGTATGCAGAAACGTAGACCACACGAAAGAGCCTGTAGTTGAAGTTCATTCGTTTAACCGGAGACAAATTCTTCACAAACCTTTCTGGTTGTTTCGGAAAATTTGGTTCGACTAACTTGTGGACGATGGAATTTTGAAGCTTGTTGAATGTACAAAGTGTGGCTTCTCGTATGTTTTCCATGCACAAGTTGGTAAATTTGATTCGGCTAACGAGGCTCAGTTCGTCAAGAATTATTGATCATTCGATGCACGTGGTCTGAAGTGTCGTTAGATTTTCTTTATAATCATCAATCTGACATCGCATCAAACGTCTCAAATTCCTGGTAGAGGCACAGATTTTATTTCTCCGTAAGCGTTTGCAAAACGTAATCGGATATCTGTTGCAACGGGCACGTTGTTCCAGAAAATGAATACGGACTCGTGTTGTGGCAATTTCACATCTCAATCTGACTAGGTCATCGAGAGACCTAATGGTTGATTTCGGGAGACGAGATCTGAGGAAATTTAAACATGCTTTTCCCGAAATTAACTTGAAAAGAAAAGCCACAATTGCAACATTGCACGATTCGTGTCCGGGACGATTTCGCTGCATCTGAACATGGTGCACACTGCACAACCATACTGTTTATATAAGTTCATGTAAAACCATAATTTTCGACAAATATAGGGGAAATTTCAATAGTCAAGTTACGTCACCATGATAAAGACACATGAACAAAGAGCTGTTTGTGCTAACACAATATTAGGTTTCCATGAATGTATGGCAATGGTTTGAACAAACCTCAAAAGCCTGGTATTCTTTGCCACGTAAATGACCCGAAACGCAGTGGTTCGGTCAGCTGGATGTTGCGTCATCAGAAGATGACGAGCGACGGCCGACGGCCGACGGCCGACAGCCGACGACGGGATCTTATGGTTTCGAACGTTGTCATTATGCCTTTGATCTGACCCTGATTGCATCACAAAACGTTGTACCCAATTTGGAATATATTCAATCACTCGGTTACGTAACTGGCGCTCTGTTCGACCCACGTAGGTTGCTCCGCAACTACACTGAAATTGGTAAATCAGATTCGATTTGGTGTACAGAGGTGGACGTTGTTTCACCGAGGGTGTGGGGATCTCAATCGTTCGATGAATAATTCTGAGGTCAGGTGCATAATATTTGTTTTGGGCAAGCGCTGATCCAAGTGGTCGTTTGAGCAAGCAATTGATGTCATCACGTATGAATGGAAGACAAAGGGTGACTAGTAGTTTTTCTGCTGAACAATTCGTTTGTCTGATCAATTTGGGCTTGCTGTGCTTTTCGATAAACGCATCGGGATAAGCGTTTCTAGTAAAAGATTCTTTCAGCTGTCGTAGTTCGTTGTCAATCATGTCTTCTGTGCAGATATGTCGTGCTGTTTGAAATAGTGTTCGGACCAGACCACGTTCATATTCCACAGACACAAAGCTGTCAATTTGCAAGCATTGGCCTGTCCAAGTTTCTTTTCGGTAAACAGATCTGGCCATTGTTCCATCATTATTCCTAGTGATTTTAATGTCGAGGAAGTGCAGTGTATCTTCGATTTCTGTTTCCATCGTAAATCGTATATTCGGATGCAGGCGATCGAGTTTATCCATAATCCATGTTGTCTCTTCTAGACTTATTGTGATGACTAGAACATGATCAACGTATCGTTTATAAAGTTGTGAACGTTCGAGGATTTTGCTCGCCTTTTCCTCAAGATGAGCCAAAAACATATGTGCCAGAATGGGGCTCAATGGAGTTCGGATTGCGACACCGTCAATTTGTCTGTAAGCCCAACCAAGGAAGGAGAACGATACGTTTGTTGTGCACAGTAGTAATTGTCGTACCAGAACTGATACTGGTATACCGATTTTCAGTTCGTTTTGCTCCACATGATCACACATGATACGTATGACCTCCCGACCGGGAACATTCGTAAACAGTGATTGGAAATCAAATGAAGCCATGTGCTTCCCTTTCACATTGATCTGGTCCAAAAGCTTTACCACTTCGAAACTGTCTTTTTTATAGTGTGTCTGACCATTGATTTATGAACTGGCTCAAGCAATTTCTCCAGCCATTTGGCCAATTCGTGTTGTGGTGAATTTGTCATAGATAGTAGTAGTATTGGTCCAAGTGGCACTCCGGGTTTGTTTAGTTTCGGTAAACCATACAGTTGTGCACTTCGAGTTCCTTTTGGCTTCAGATGGTGAGCTGTGCTTTCATCGATGAAGTGTCCTTCTAGTAGAAACTGTACTGCTGTCGATATCTGTTGTTCTAATTCTTTAGGGTCTTCACAGTCATCTTCGAGTACAAACTTGCTGGGATCATGAAGAACACTTTCCATCTTCTTCTCATAATCATTCCGATCGATCAGCACTGCTCCGGACCCCTTGTTAGGGCGTAAAACTAACAAATCAGGTCACAACTGTAGCTCTTCAATGGCGGATGTGAATGTGCTCAGGCGTGAAGAGTGACTTATGTTTGGACGATGTCATCCGGTACTGTCGTTCCAAGTCAACCAGCTTTGCTTTGAACCAAGTCTCCGCATCTTTTGAAGTTCGTTTGACTAATTGTAGTTGTTCGAATAGATATTCAAATTGCGCCTGTGTCTTTATGCTGGTCATTTTACTCGGTGGTATGCAGAAACGTAGACCACACGAAAGAGCTTGTAGTTGAAGTTCATTCGTTCAACCGGAGACAAATTCTTCACAAACCTTTCTGGTTGTTTCGGAAAATTTGGTTCGACTAACTTGTGGACGATGGAATTCTGAAGCTTGTTGAATGTACAAAGTTTGGCTTCTCGTATGTTTTCCATGCACAAGTTGGTAAATTTGATTCGGCTAACGAGGCTCAGTTCGTCAAGAATTATTGATCATTCGATGCACATGGTCTGAAGTGTCGTTAGATTTTCTTTATAATCATCAATCTGACATCGCATCAAACGTCTCAAATTCCTGGTAGAGGCACAGATTTTATTTCTCCGTAAGCGTTTGCAAAACGTAATCGGATATCTGTTGCAACGGGCACGTTGTTCCAGAAAATGAATACGGACTCGTGTTGTGGCAATTTCACATCTCAATCTGACTAGGTCATCGAGAGACCTGATGGTTGATTTCGGGAGACGAGATCTGAGGAAATTTAAACATGCTTTTCCCGAAATAGTCTTGAAAAGAAAAGCCACAGTTGCAACATTGCACGATTCGTGTCGCGGAACGATTTCGCTGCATCTGAACATGGTGCACACTGCACAACCATACTGTTTATATAAGTTCATGTAAAACCATAATTTTCGACAAATATAGGGGAAATTTCAATAGTCAAGTTACGTCACCATGATAAAGACACATGAACACAGAGCTGTTTGTGCTGACACAATATTAGGTTTCCATGAATGTATGGGAATGGTTTGAACAAACCTCAAAAGCCTGGTATTCTTTGCCACGTAAATGACCCGAAACGCAGTGGTTCGGTCAGCTGGATGTTGCGTCATCAGAAGATGACGAGCGACGGCCGACGGCCGACGGCCGACAGCCGACGACGGGATCTTATGGTTTCGAACGTTGTCATTATGCCTTTGATCTGACCCTGATTGCATCACAAAACGTTGTACCCAATTTGGAATATATTCAATCACTCGGTTACGTAACTGGCGCTCTGTTCGACCTACGTAGGTTGCTCCGCAACTACACTGAAATTGGTAAATCAGATTCGATTTGGTGTACATTGGTGGACGTTGTTTCACCGAGGGTGTGGGGATCTCAATCGTTCGATGAATAATTCTGAGGTCAGGTGCATAATATTTGTTTTTGGCAAGCGCTGATCCAAGTGGTCGTTTGAGCAAGCAATTGATGTCATCACGTATGAATGGAAGACAAAGGGTGACTAGTAGTTTTTCTGCTGAACAATTCGTTTGTCTGATCAATTTAGGCTTGCTGTGCTTTTCGATAAACGCATCGGGATAAGCGTTTCTAGTAAAAGATTCTTTCAGCTGTCGTAGTTCGTTGTCAATCATGTCTTCTGTGCAGATATGTCGTGCTGTTTGAAATAGTGTTCGGACCAGACCACGTTCATATTCCACAGACACAAAGCTGTCAAATTGCAAGCATTGGCCTGTCCAGGTTTCTTTTCGGTAAACAGATCTGGCCATTGTTCCATCATTATTCCTAGTGATTTTAATGTCGAGGAAGTGCAGTGTATCTTCGATTTCTGTTTCCATCGTAAATCGTATATTCGGATGCAGGCGATCGAGTTTGTCCATAATCCATGTTGTCTCTTCTAGACTTATTGTGATGACTAGAACATGATCAACGTATCGTTTGTAAAGTTGTGAACGTTCGAGGATTTTGCTCGCCTTTTCCTCAAGATGAGCAAAAAACATATGTGCCAGAATGGGGCTCAATGGAGTTCGGATTGCGACACCGTCAATTTGTCTGTAAGCCCAACCAAGGAAGGAGAACGATACGTTTGTTGTGCACAGTAGTAATTGTCGTACCAGAACTGATACTGGTATACCGATTTTCAGTTCGTTTTGCTCCACATGATCACACATGATACGTATGACCTCCCGACCGGGAACATTCGTAAACAGTGATTGGAAATCAAATGAAGCCATGTGCTTCCCTTTCACATTGATCTGGTCCAAAAGCTTTACCACTTCGAAACTGTCTTTTTTATAGTGTGTCTGACCATTGATTTATGAACTGGCTCAAGCAATTTCTCCAGCCATTTGGCCAATTCGTGTTGTGGTGAATTTGTCATAGATAGTAGTAGTATTGGTCCAAGTGGCACTCCGGGTTTGTTTAGTTTCGGTAAACCATACAGTTGTGCACTTCGAGTTCCTTTTGGCTTCAGATGGTGAGCTGTGCTTTCATCGATGAAGTGTCCTTCTAGTAGAAACTGTACTGCTGTCGATATCTGTTGTTCTAGTTCTTTAGGGTCTTCACAGTCATCTTCGAGTACAAACTTGCTGGGATCATGAAGAACACTTTCCATCTTCTTCTCATAATCATTCCGATCGATCAGCACTGCTCCGGACCCCTTGTTAGGGCGTAAAACTAACAAATCAGGTCACAACTGTAGCTCTTCAATGGCGGATGTGAATGTGCTCAGGCGTGAAGAGTGACTTATGTTTGGACGATGTCATCCGGTACTGTCGTTCCAAGTCAACCAGCTTTGCTTTGAACCAAGTCTCCGCATCTTTTGAAGTTCGTTTGACTAATTGTAGTTGTTCGAATAGATATTCAAATTGCGCCTGTGTCTTTATGCTGGTCATTTTACTCGGTGGTATGCAGAAACGTAGACCACACGAAAGAGCTTGTAGTTGAAGTTCATTCGTTCAACCGGAGACAAATTCTTCACAAACCTTTCTGGTTGTTTCGGAAAATTTGGTTCGACTAACTTGTGGACGATGGAATTCTGAAGCTTGTTGAATGTACAAAGTTTGGCTTCTCGTATGTTTTCCATGCACAAGTTGGTAAATTTGATTCGGCTAACGAGGCTCGGTTCGTCAAGAATTATTGATCATTCGATGCACGTGGTCTGAAGTGTCGTTAGATTTTCTTTATAATCATCAATCTGACATCGCATCAAACGTCTCAAATTCCTGGTAGAGGCACAGATTTTATTTCTCCGTAAGCGTTTGCAAAACGTAATCGGATATCTGTTGCAACGGGCACGTTGTTCCAGAAAATGAATACGGACTCGAGTTGTGGCAATTTCACATCTCAATCTGACTAGGTCATCGAGAGACCTAATGGTTGATTTCGGGAGACGAGATCTGAGGAAATTTAAACATGCATTTCCCGAAATAATCTTGAAAAGAAAAGCCACAGTTACAACATTGCACGATTCGTGTCCGAGACGATTTCGCTGCATCTGAACATGGTGCACACTGTACAACCATACTGTTTATATAAGTTCATGTAAAACCATAATTTTCGACAAATATAGGGGAAATTTCAATAGTCAAGTTACGTCACCATGATAAAGACACATGAACAAAGAGCTGTTTGTGCTGACACAATATTAGGTTTCCATGAATGTATGGCAATGGTTTGAACAAACCTCAAAAGCCTGGTATTCTTTGCCACGTAAATGACCCGAAACGCAGTGGTTCGGTCAGCTGGATGTTGCGTCATCAGAAGATGACGAGCGACGGCCGACGGCCGACGGCCGACAGCCGACGACGGGATCTTATGGTTTCGAACGTTGTCATTATGCCTTTGATCTGACCCTGATTGCATCACAAAACGTTGTACCCAATTTGGAATATATTCAATCACTCGGTTACGTAACTGGCGCTCTGTTCGACCCACGTACGTTGCTCCGCAACTACACTGAAATTGGTAAATCAGATTCGATTTGGTGTACAGAGGTGGACGTTGTTTCACCGAGGGTGTGGGGATCTCAATCGTTCGATGAATAATTCTGAGGTCAGGTGCATAATATTTGTTTTGGGCAAGCGCTGATCCAAGTGGTCGTTTGAGCAAGCAATTGATGTCATCACGTATGAATGGAAGACAAAGGGTGACTAGTAGTTTTTCTGCTGAACAATTCGTTTGTCTGATCAATTTGGGCTTGCTGTGCTTTTCGATAAACGCATCGGGATAAGCGTTTCTAGTAAAAGATTCTTTCAGCTGTCGTAGTTCGTTGTCAATCATGTCTTCTGTGCAGATATGTCGTGCTGTTTGAAATAGTGTTCGGACCAGACCACGTTCATATTCCACAGACACAAAGCTGTCAATTTGCAAGCATTGGCCTGTCCAAGTTTCTTTTCGGTAAACAGATCTGGCCATTGTTCCATCATTATTCCTAGTCATTTTAATGTCGAGGAAGTGCAGTGTATCTTCGATTTCTGTTTCCATCGTAAATCGTATATTCGGATGCAGGCGATCGAGTTTATCCATAATCCATGTTGTCTCTTCTAGACTTATTGTGATGACTAGAACATGATCAACGTATCGTTTGTAAAGTTGTGAACGTTCGAGGATTTTGCTCGCCTTTTCCTCAAGATGAGCCAAAAACATATGTGCCAGAATGGGGCTCAATGGAGTTCGGATTGCGACACCGTCAATTTGTCTGTAAGCCCAACCAAGGAAGGAGAACGATACGTTTGTTGTGCACAGTAGTAATTGTCGTACCAGAACTGATACTGGTATACCGATTTTCAGTTCGTTTTGCTCCACATGATCACACATGATACGTATGACCTCCCGACCGGGAACATTCGTAAACAGTGATTGGAAATCAAATGAAGCCATGTGCTTCCCTTTCACATTGATCTGGTCCAAAAGCTTTACCACTTCGAAACTGTCTTTTTTATAGTGTGTCTGACCATTGATTTATGAACTGGCTCAAGCAATTTCTCCAGCCATTTGGCCAATTCGTGTTGTGGTGAATTTGTCATAGATAGTAGTAGTATTGGTCCAAGTGGCACTCCGGGTTTGTTTAGTTTCGGTAAACCATACAGTTGTGCACTTCGAGTTCCTTTTGGCTTCAGATGGTGAGCTGTGCTTTCATCGATGAAGTGTCCTTCTAGTAGAAACTGTACTGCTGTCGATATCTGTTGTTCTAGTTCTTTAGGGTCTTCACAGTCATCTTCGAGTACAAACTTGCTGGGATCATGAAGAACACTTTCCATCTTCTTCTCATAATCATTCCGATCGATCAGCACTGCTCCGGACCCCTTGTTAGGGCGTAAAACTAACAAATCAGGTCACAACTGTAGCTCTTCAATGGCGGATGTGAATGTGCTCAGGCGTGAAGAGTGACTTATGTTTGGACGATGTCATCCGGTACTGTCGTTCCAAGTCAACCAGCTTTGCTTTGAACCAAGTCTCCGCATCTTTTGAAGTTCGTTTGACTAATTGTAGTTGTTCGAATAGATATTCAAATTGCGCCTGTGTCTTTATGCTGGTCATTTTACTCGGTGGTATGCAGAAACGTACACCACACGAAAGAGCCTGTAGTTGAAGTTCATTCGTTCAACCGGAGACAAATTCTTCACAAACCTTTCTGGTTGTTTCGGAAAATTTGGTTCGACTAATTTGTGGACGATGGAATTCTGAAGCTTGTTGAATGTACAAAGTTTGGCTTCTCGTATGTTTTCCATGCACAAGTTGGTAAATTTGATTCGGCTAACGAGGCTCGGTTCGTCAAGAATTATTGATCATTCGATGCACGTGGTCTGAAGTGTCGTTAGATTTTCTTTATAATCATCAATCTGACATCGCATCAAACGTCTCAAATTCCTGGTAGAGGCACAGATTTTATTCCTCCGTAAGCGTTTGCAAAACGTAATCGGATATCTGTTGCAACGGGCACGTTGTTCCAGAAAATGAATACGGACTCGAGTTGTGGCAATTTCACATCTAAATCTGACTAGGTCATCGAGAGACCTAATGGTTGATTTCAGGAGACGAGATCTGAGGAAATTTAAACATGCATTTCCCGAAATAGTCTTGAAAAGAAAAGCCACAGTTGCAACATTGCACGATTCGTGTCCGGGACGATTTCGCTGCATCTGAACATGGTGCACACTGTACAACCATACTGTTTATATAAGTTCATGTTAAACCTGCATTTTTCGACAAATATAGGGGAAATTTCAATAGTCAAGTTACGTCACCATGATAAAGACACATGAACAAAGAGCTGTTTGTGCTGACACAATATTAGGTTTCCATGAATGTATGGCAATGGTTTGAACAAACCTCAAAAGCCTGGTATTCTTTGCCACGTAAATGACCCGAAACGCAGTGCTTCGGTCAGCTGGATGTTGCGTCATCAGAAGATGACGAGCGACGGCCGACGGCCGACGGCCGACAGCCGACGACGGGATCTTATGGTTTCGAACGTTGTCATTATGCCTTTGAGCTGACCCTGATTGCATCACAAAACGTTGTACCCAATTTGGAATATATTCAATCACTCGGTTACGTAACTGGCGCTCTGTTCGACCCACGTACGTTGCTCCGCAACTACACTGAAATTGGTAAATCAGATTCGATTTGGTGTACAGAGGTGGACGTTGTTTCACCGAGGGTGTGGGGATCTCAATCGTTCGATGAATAATTCTGAGGTCAGGTGCATAATATTTGTTTTGGGCAAGCGCTGATCCAAGTGGTCGTTTGAGCAAGCAATTGATGTCATCACGTATGAATGGAAGACAAATGGTGACTAGTAGTTTTTCTGCTGAACAATTCGTTTGTCTGATCAATTTAGGCTTGCTGTGCTTTTCGATAAACGCATCGGGATAAGCGTTTCTAGTCAAAGATTCTTTCAGCTGTCGTAGTTCGTTGTCAATCATGTCATCTGTGCATATATGTCGTGCTGTTTGAAATAGTGTTCGGACCAGACCACGTTCATATTCCACAGACACAAAGCTGTCAAATTGCAAGCATTGGCCTGTCCAAGTTTCTTTTCGGTAAACAGATCTGGCCATTGTTCCATCATTATTCCTAGTCATTTTAATGTCGAGGAAGTGCAGTGTATCTTCGATTTCTGTTTCCATCGTAAATCGTATATTCGGATGCAGGCGATCGAGTTTATCCATAATCCATGTTGTCTCTTCTAGACTTATTGTGATGACTAGAACATGATCAACGTATCGTTTGTAAAGTTGTGAACGTTCGAGGATTTTGCTCGCCTTTTCCTCAAGATGAGCCAAAAACATATGTGCCAGAATGGGGCTCAATGGAGTTCGGATTGCGACACCGTCAATTTGTCTGTAAGCCCAACCAAGGAAGGAGAACGATACGTTTGTTGTGCACAGTAGTAATTGTCGTACCAGAACTGATACTGGTATACCGATTTTCAGTTCGTTTTGCTCCACATGATCACACATGATACGTATGACCTCCCGACCGGGAACATTCGTAAACAGTGATTGGAAATCAAATGAAGCCATGTGCTTCCCTTTCACATTGATCTGGTCCAAAAGCTTTACCACTTCGAAACTGTCTTTTTTATAGTGTGTCTGACCATTGATTTATGAACTGGCTCAAGCAATTTCTCCAGCCATTTGGCCAATTCGTGTTGTGGTGAATTTGTCATAGATAGTAGTAGTATTGGTCCAAGTGGCACTCCGGGTTTGTTTAGTTTCGGTAAACCATACAGTTGTGCACTTCGAGTTCCTTTTGGCTTCAGATGGTGAGCTGTGCTTTCATCGATGAAGTGTCCTTCTAGTAGAAACTGTACTGCTGTCGATATCTGTTGTTCTAGTTCTTTAGGGTCTTCACAGTCATCTTCGAGTACAAACTTGCTGGGATCATGAAGAACACTTTCCATCTTCTTCTCATAATCATTCCGATCGATCAGCACTGCTCCGGACCCCTTGTTAGGGCGTAAAACTAACAAATCAGGTCACAACTGTAGCTCTTCAATGGCGGATGTGAATGTGCTCAGGCGTGAAGAGTGACTTATGTTTGGACGATGTCATCCGGTACTGTCGTTCCAAGTCAACCAGCTTTGCTTTGAACCAAGTCTCCGCATCTTTTGAAGTTCGTTTGACTAATTGTAGTTGTTCGAATAGATATTCAAATTGCGCCTGTGTCTTTATGCTGGTCATTTTACTCGGTGGTATGCAGAAACGTAGACCACACGAAAGAGCCTGTAGTTGAAGTTCATTCGTTTAACCGGAGACAAATTCTTCACAAACCTTTCTGGTTGTTTCGGAAAATTTGGTTCGACTAACTTGTGGACGATGGAATTCTGAAGCTTGTTGAATGTACAAAGTTTGGCTTCTCGTATGTTTTCCATGCACAAGTTGGTAAATTTGATTCGGCTAACGAGGCTCAGTTCGTCAAGAATTATTGATCATTCGATGCACGTGGTCTGAAGTGTCGTTAGATTTTCTTTATAATCATCAATCTGACATCGCATCAAACGTCTCAAATTCCTGGTAGAGGCACAGATTTTATTCCTCCGTAAGCGTTTGCAAAACGTAATCGGATATCTGTTGCAACGGGCACGTTGTTCCAGAAAATGAATACGGACTTGAGTTGTGGCAATTTCACATCTCAATCTGACTAGGTCATTGAGAGACCAAATGATTGATTTCGGGAGACGAGATCTGAGGAAATTTAAACATGCTTTTCCCGAAATAATCTTGAAAAGAAAAGCCACAGTTGCAACATTGCACGATTCGTGTCCGGGACGATTTCGCTGCATCTGAACATGGTGCACACTGCACAACCATACTGTTTATATAAGTTCATGTAAAACCATAATTTTCGACAAATATAGGGGAAATTTCAATAGTCAAGTTACGTCACCATGATAAAGACACATGAACAAAGAGCTGTTTGTGCTGACACAATATTAGGTTTCCATGAATGTATGGGAATGGTTTGAACAAACCTCAAAAGCCTGGTATTCTTTGCCACGTAAATGACCCGAAACGCAGTGGTTCGGTCAGCTGGATGTTGCGTCATCAGAAGATGACGAGCGACGGCCGACAGCCGACGACGGGATCTTATGGTTTCGAACGTTGTCATTATGCCTTTGATCTGACCCTGATTGCATCACAAAACGTTGTACCCAATTTGGAATATATTCAATCACTCGGTTACGTAACTGGCGCTCTGTTCGACCCACGTAGGTTGCTCCGCAACTACACTGAAATTGGTAAATCAGATTCGATTTGGTGTACAGAGGTGGACGTTGTTTCACCGAGGGTGTGGGGATCTCAATCGTTCGATGAATAATTCTGAGGTCAGGTGCATAATATTTGTTTTTGGCAAGCGCTGATCCAAGTGGTCGTTTGAGCAAGCAATTGATGTCATCACGTATGAATGGAAGACAAATGGTGACTAGTAGTTTTTCTGCTGAACAATTCGTTTGTCTGATCAATTTAGGCTTGCTGTGCTTTTCGATAAACGCATCGGGATAAGCGTTTCTAGTCAAAGATTCTTTCAGCTGTCGTAGTTCGTTGTCAATCATGTCTTCTGTGCAGATATGTCGTGCTGTTTGAAATAGTGTTCGGACCAGACCACGTTCATATTCCACAGACACAAAGCTGTCAAATTGCAAGCATTGGCCTGTCCAGGTTTCTTTTCGGTAAACAGATCTGGCCATTGTTCCATCATTATTCCCAGTCATTTTAATGTCGAGGAAGTGCAGTGTATCTTCGATTTCTGTTTCCATCGTAAATCGTATATTCGGATGCAGGCGATCGAGTTTATCCATAATCCATGTTGTCTCTTCTAGACTTATTGTGATGACTAGAACATGATCAACGTATCGTTTGTAAAGTTGTGAACGTTCGAGGATTTTGCTCGCCTTTTCCTCAAGATGAGCCAAAAACATATGTGCCAGAATGGGGCTCAATGGAGTTCGGATTGCGACACCGTCAATTTGTCTGTAAGCCCAACCAAGGAAGGAGAACGATACGTTTGTTGTGCACAGTAGTAATTGTCGTACCAGAACTGATACTGGTATACCGATTTTCAGTTGGTTTTGCTCCACATGATCACACATGATACGTATGACCTCCCGACCGGGAACATTCGTAAACAGTGATTGGAAATCAAATGAAGCCATGTGCTTCCCTTTCACATTGATCTGGTCCAAAAGCTTTACCACTTCGAAACTGTCTTTTTTATAGTGTGTCTGACCATTGATTTATGAACTGGCTCAAGCAATTTCTCCAGCCATTTGGCCAATTCGTGTTGTGGTGAATTTGTCATAGATAGTAGTAGTATTGGTCCAAGTGGCACTCCGGGTTTGTTTAGTTTCGGTAAACCATACAGTTGAGCACTTCGAGTTCCTTTTGGCTTCAGATGGTGAGCTGTGCTTTCATCGATGAAGTGTCCTTCTAGTAGAAACTGTACTGCGGTCGATATCTGTTGTTCTAGTTCTTTAGGGTCTTCACAGTCATCTTCGAGTACAAACTTGCTGGGATCATGAAGAACACTTTCCATCTTCTTCTCATAATCATTCCGATCGATCAGCACTGCTCCGGACCCCTTGTTAGGGCGTAAAACTAACAAATCAGGTCACAACTGTAGCTCTTCAATGGCGGATGTGAATGTGCTCAGGCGTGAAGAGTGACTTATGTTTGGACGATGTCATCCGGTACTGTCGTTCCAAGTCAACCAGCTTTGCTTTGAACCAAGTCTCCGCATCTTTTGAAGTTCGTTTGACTAATTGTAGTTGTTCGAATAGATATTCAAATTGCGCCTGTGTCTTTATGCTGGTCATTTTACTCGGTGGTATGCAGAAACGTAGACCACACGAAAGAGCCTGTAGTTGAAGTTCATTCGTTTAACCGGAGACAAATTCTTCCCAAACCTTTCTGGTTGTTTCGGAAAATGTGGTTCGACTAACTTGTGGACGATGGAATTCTGAAGCTTGTTGAATGTACAAAGTTTGGCTTCTCGTATGTTTTCCATGCACAAGTTGGTAAATTTGATTCGGCTAACGAGGCTCAGTTCGTCAAGAATTATTGATCATTCGATGCACGTGGTCTGAAGTGTCGTTAGATTTTCTGTATAATCATCAATCTGACATCGCATCAAACGTCTCAAATTCCTGGTAGAGGCACAGATTTTATTCCTCCGTAAGCGTTTGCAAAACGTAATCGGATATCTGTTGCAACGGGCACGTTGTTCCAGAAAATGAATACGGACTTGAGTTGTGGCAATTTCACATCTCAATCTGACTAGGTCATCGAGAGACCAAATGGTTGATTTCGGGAGACGAGATCTGAGGAAATTTAAACATGCTTTTCCCGAAATAATCTTGAAAAGAAAAGCCACAGTTGCAACATTGCACGATTCGTGTCCGGGACGATTTCGCTGCATCTGAACATGGTGCACACTGCACAACCATACTGTTTATATAAATTCATGTAAAACCATAATTTTCGACAAATATAGGGGAAATTTCAATAGTCAAGTTACGTCACCATGATAAAGACACATGAACAAAGAGCTGTTTGTGCTAACACAATATTAGGTTTCCATGAATGTATGGCAATGGTTTGAACAAACCTCAAAAGCCTGGTATTCTTTGCCACGTAAATGACCCGAAACGCAGTGCTTCGGTCAGCTGGATGTTGCGTCATCAGAAGATGACGAGCGACGGCCGACAGCCGACGACGGGATCTTATGGTTTCGAACGTTGTCATTATGCCTTTGATCTGACCCTGATTGCATCACAAAACGTTGTACCCAATTTGGAATATATTCAATCACTCGGTTACGTAACTGGCGCTCTGTTCGACCCACGTAGGTTGCTCCGCAACTACACTGAAATTGGTAAATCAGATTCGATTTGGTGTACAGAGGTGGACGTTGTTTCACCGAGGGTGTGGGGATCTCAATCGTTCGATGAATAATTCTGAGGTCAGGTGCATAATATTTGTTTTGGGCAAGCGCTGATCCAAGTGGTCGTTTGAGCAAGCAATTGATGTCATCACGTATGAATGGAAGACAAATGGTGACTAGTAGTTTTTCTGCTGAACAATTCGTTTGTCTGATCAATTTAGGCTTGCTGTGCTTTTCGATAAACGCATCGGGATAAGCGTTTCTAGTCAAAGATTCTTTCAGCTGTCGTAGTTCGTTGTCAATCATGTCTTCTGTGCAGATATGTCGTGCTGTTTGAAATAGTGTTCGGACCAGACCACGTTCATATTCCACAGACACAAAGCTGTCAAATTGCAAGCATTGGCCTGTCCAGGTTTCTTTTCGGTAAACAGATCTGGCCATTGTTCCATCATTATTCCTAGTCATTTTAATGTCGAGGAAGTGCAGTGTATCTTCGATTTCTGTTTCCATCGTAAATCGTATATTCGGATGCAGGCGATCGAGTTTATCCATAATCCATGTTGTCTCTTCTAGACTTATTGTGATGACTAGAACATGATCAACGTATCGTTTGTAAAGTTGTGAACGTTCGAGGATTTTGCTCGCCTTTTCCTCAAGATGAGCCAAAAACATATGTGCCAGAATGGGGCTCAATGGAGTTCGGATTGCGACACCGTCAATTTGTCTGTAAGCCCAACCAAGGAAGGAGAACGATACGTTTGTTGTGCACAGTAGTAATTGTCGTACCAGAACTGATACTGGTATACCGATTTTCAGTTGGTTTTGCTCCACATGATCACACATGATACGTATGACCTCCCGACCGGGAACATTCGTAAACAGTGATTGGAAATCAAATGAAGCCATGTGCTTCCCTTTCACATTGATCTGGTCCAAAAGCTTTACCACTTCGAAACTGTCTTTTTTATAGTGTGTCTGACCATTGATTTATGAACTGGCTCAAGCAATTTCTCCAGCCATTTGGCCAATTCGTGTTGTGGTGAATTTGTCATAGATAGTAGTAGTATTGGTCCAAGTGGCACTCCGGGTTTGTTTAGTTTCGGTAAACCATACAGTTGTGCACTTCGAGTTCCTTTTGGCTTCAGATGGTGAGCTGTGCTTTCATCGATGAAGTGTCCTTCTAGTAGAAACTGTACTGCTGTCGATATCTGTTGTTCTAGTTCTTTAGGGTCTTCACAGTCATCTTCGAGTACAAACTTGCTGGGATCATGAAGAACACTTTCCATCTTCTTCTCATAATCATTCCGATCGATCAGCACTGCTCCGGACCCCTTGTTAGGGCGTAAAACTAACAAATCAGGTCACAACTGTAGCTCTTCAATGGCGGATGTGAATGTGCTCAGGCGTGAAGAGTGACTTATGTTTGGACGATGTCATCCGGTACTGTCGTTCCAAGTCAACCAGCTTTGCTTTGAACCAAGTCTCCGCATCTTTTGAAGTTCGTTTGACTAATTGTAGTTGTTCGAATAGATATTCAAATTGCGCCTGTGTCTTTATGCTGGTCATTTTACTCGGTGGTATGCAGAAACGTAGACCACACGAAAGAGCCTGTAGTTGAAGTTCATTCGTTTAACCGGAGACAAATTCTTCCCAAACCTTTCTGGTTGTTTCGGAAAATGTGGTTCGACTAACTTGTGGACGATGGAATTCTGAAGCTTGTTGAATGTACAAAGTTTGGCTTCTCGTATGTTTTCCATGCACAAGTTGGTAAATTTGATTCGGCTAACGAGGCTCAGTTCGTCAAGAATTATTGATCATTCGATGCACGTGGTCTGAAGTGTCGTTAGATTTTCTGTATAATCATCAATCTGACATCGCATCAAACGTCTCAAATTCCTGGTAGAGGCACAGATTTTATTCCTCCGTAAGCGTTTGCAAAACGTAATCGGATATCTGTTGCAACGGGCACGTTGTTCCAGAAAATGAATACGGACTTGAGTTGTGGCAATTTCACATCTCAATCTGACTAGGTCATCGAGAGACCAAATGGTTGATTTCGGGAGACGAGATCTGAGGAAATTTAAACATGCTTTTCCCGAAATAATCTTGAAAAGAAAAGCCACAGTTGCAACATTGCACGATTCGTGTCCGGGACGATTTCGCTGCATCTGAACATGGTGCACACTGCACAACCATACTGTTTATATAAATTCATGTAAAACCATAATTGTCGACAAATATAGGGGAAATTTCAATAGTCAAGTTACGTCACCATGATAAAGACACATGAACAAAGAGCTGTTTGTGCTAACACAATATTAGGTTTCCATGAATGTATGGCAATGGTTTGAACAAACCTCAAAAGCCTGGTATTCTTTGCCACGTAAATGACCCGAAACGCAGTGCTTCGGTCAGCTGGATGTTGCGTCATCAGAAGATGACGAGCGACGGCCGATAGCCGACGACGGGATCTTATGGTTTCGAACGTTGTCATTATGCCTTTGATCTGACCCTGATTGCATCACAAAACGTTGTACCCAATTTGGAATATATTCAATCACTCGGTTACGTAACTGGCGCTCTGTTCGACCCACGTAGGTTGCTCCGCAACTACACTGAAATTGGTAAATCAGATTCGATTTGGTGTACAGAGGTGGACGTTGTTTCACCGAGGGTGTGGGGATCTCAATCGTTCGATGAATAATTCTGAGGTCAGGTGCATAATATTTGTTTTGGGCAAGCGCTGATCCAAGTGGTCGTTTGAGCAAGCAATTGATGTCATCACGTATGAATGGAAGACAAATGGTGACTAGTAGTTTTTCTGCTGAACAATTCGTTTGTCTGATCAATTTAGGCTTGCTGTGCTTTTCGATAAACGCATCGGGATAAGCGTTTCTAGTCAAAGATTCTTTCAGCTGTCGTAGTTCGTTGTCAATCATGTCTTCTGTGCAGATATGTCGTGCTGTTTGAAATAGTGTTCGGACCAGACCACGTTCATATTCCACAGACACAAAGCTGTCAAATTGCAAGCATTGGCCTGTCCAAGTTTCTTTTCGGTAAACAGATCTGGCCATTGTTCCATCATTATTCCTAGTCATTTTATTGTCGAGGAAGTGCAGTGTATCTTCGATTTCTGTTTCCATCGTAAATCGTATATTCGGATGCAGGCGATCGAGTTTATCCATAATCCATGTTGTCTCTTCTAGACTTATTGTGATGACTAGAACATGATCAACGTATCGTTTGTAAAGTTGTGAACGTTCGGGGATTTTGCTCGCCTTTTCCTCAAGATGAGCCAAAAACATATGTGCCAGAATGGGGCTCAATGGAGTTCCGACTGCGACACCGTCAATTTGTCTGTAAGCCCAACCAAGGAAGGAGAACGATACGTTTGTTGTGCACAGTAGTAATTGTCGTACCAGAACTGATACTGGTATACCGATTTTCAGTTTGTTTTGCTCCACATGATCACACATGATACGTATGACCTCCCGACCGGGAACATTCGTAAACAGTGATTGGAAATCAAATGAAGCCATGTGCTTCCCTTTCACATTGATCTGGTCCAAAAGCTTTACCACTTCGAAACTGTCTTTTTTATAGTGTGTCTGACCATTGATTTATGAACTGGCTCAAGCAATTTCTCCAGCCATTTGGCCAATTCGTGTTGTGGTGAATTTGTCATAGATAGTAGTAGTATTGGTCCAAGTGGCACTCCGGGTTTGTTTAGTTTCGGTAAACCATACAGTTGTGCACTTCGAGTTCCTTTTGGCTTCAGATGGTGAGCTGTGCTTTCATCGATGAAGTGTCCTTCTAGTAGAAACTGTACTGCTGTCGATATCTGTTGTTCTAGTTCTTTAGGGTCTTCACAGTCATCTTCGAGTACAAACTTGCTGGGATCATGAAGAACACTTTCCATCTTCTTCTCATAATCATTCCGATCGATCAGCACTGCTCCGGACCCCTTGTTAGGGCGTAAAACTAACAAATCAGGTCACAACTGTAGCTCTTCAATGGCGGATGTGAATGTGCTCAGGCGTGAAGAGTGACTTATGTTTGGACGATGTCATCCGGTACTGTCGTTCCAAGTCAACCAGCTTTGCTTTGAACCAAGTCTCCGCATCTTTTGAAGTTCGTTTGACTAATTGTAGTTGTTCGAATAGATATTCAAATTGCGCCTGTGTCTTTATGCTGGTCATTTTACTCGGTGGTATGCAGAAACGTAGACCACACGAAAGAGCCTGTAGTTGAAGTTCATTCGTTTAACCGGAGACAAATTCTTCACAAACCTTTCTGGTTGTTTCGGAAAATTTGGTTCGACTAACTTGTGGACGATGGAATTCTGAAGCTTGTTGAATGTACAAAGTTTGGCTTCTCGTATGTTTTCCATGCACAAGTTGGTAAATTTGATTCGGCTAACGAGGCTCGGTTCGTCAAGAATTATTGATCATTCGATGCACGTGGTCTGAAGTGTCGTTAGATTTTCTTTATAATCATCAATCTGACATCGCATCAAACGTCTCAAATTCCTGGTAGAGGCACAGATTTTATTCCTCCGTAAGCGTTTGCAAAACGTAATCGGATATCTGTTGCAACGGGCACGTTGTTCCAGAAAATGAATACGGACTTGAGTTGTGGCAATTTCACATCTCAATCTGACTAGGTCATTGAGAGACCTAATGGTTGATTTCGGGAGACGAGATCTGAGGAAATTTAAACATGCTTTTCCCGAAATAATCTTGAAAAGAAAAGCCACAGTTGCAACATTGCACGATTCGTGTCCGGGACGATTTCGCTGCATCTGAACATGGTGCACACTGCACAACCATACTGTTTATATAAGTTCATGTAAAACCATAATTTTCGACAAATATAGGGGAAATTTCAATAGTCAAGTTACGTCACCATGATAAAGACACATGAACAAAGAGCTGTTTGTGCTGACACAATATTAGGTTTCCATGAATGTATGGGAATGGTTTGAACAAACCTCAAAAGCCTGGTATTCTTTGCCACGTAAATGACCCGAAACGCAGTGGTTCGGTCAGCTGGATGTTGCGTCATCAGAAGATGACGAGCGACGGCCGACGGCCGACGGCCGACAGCCGACGACGGGATCTTATGGTTTCGAACGTTGTCATTATGCCTTTGATCTGACCCTGATTGCATCACAAAACGTTGTACCCAATTTGGAATATATTCAATCACTCGGTTACGTAACTGGCGCTCTGTTCGACCCACGTAGGTTGCTCCGCAACTACACTGAAATTGGTAAATCAGATTCGATTTGGTGTACAGAGGTGGACGTTGTTTCACCGAGGGTGTGGGGATCTCAATCGTTCGATGAATAATTCTGAGGTCAGGTGCATAATATTTGTTTTTGGCAAGCGCTGATCCAAGTGGTCGTTTGAGCAAGCAATTGATGTCATCACGTATGAATGGAAGACAAATGGTGACTAGTAGTTTTTCTGCTGAACAATTCGTTTGTCTGATCAATTTAGGCTTGCTGTGCTTTTCGATAAACGCATCGGGATAAGCGTTTCTAGTCAAAGATTCTTTCAGCTGTCGTAGTTCGTTGTCAATCATGTCTTCTGTGCAGATATGTCGTGCTGTTTGAAATAGTGTTCGGACCAGACCACGTTCATATTCCACAGACACAAAGCTGTCAAATTGCAAGCATTGGCCTGTCCAGGTTTCTTTTCGGTAAACAGATCTGGCCATTGTTCCATCATTATTCCTAGTGATTTTAATGTCGAGGAAGTGCAGTGTATCTTCGATTTCTGTTTCCATCGTAAATCGTATATTCGGATGCAGGCGATCGAGTTTATCCATAATCCATGTTGTCTCTTCTAGACTTATTGTGATGACTAGAACATGATCAACGTATCGTTTGTAAAGTTGTGAACGTTCGAGGATTTTGCTCGCCTTTTCCTCAAGATGAGCCAAAAACATATGTGCCAGAATGGGGCTCAATGGAGTTCGGATTGCGACACCGTCAATTTGTCTGTAAGCCCAACCAAGGAAGGAGAACGATACGTTTGTTGTGCACAGTAGTAATTGTCGTACCAGAACTGATACTGGTATACCGATTTTCAGTTGGTTTTGCTCCACATGATCACACATGATACGTATGACCTCCCGACCGGGAACATTCGTAAACAGTGATTGGAAATCAAATGAAGCCATGTGCTTCCCTTTCACATTGATCTGGTCCAAAAGCTTTACCACTTCGAAACTGTCTTTTTTATAGTGTGTCTGACCATTGATTTATGAACTGGCTCAAGCAATTTCTCCAGCCATTTGGCCAATTCGTGTTGTGGTGAATTTGTCATAGATAGTAGTAGTATTGGTCCAAGTGGCACTCCGGGTTTGTTTAGTTTCGGTAAACCATACAGTTGTGCACTTCGAGTTCCTTTTGGCTTCAGATGGTGAGCTGTGCTTTCATCGATGAAGTGTCCTTCTAGTAGAAACTGTACTGCTGTCGATATCTGTTGTTCTAGTTCTTTAGGGTCTTCACAGTCATCTTCGAGTACAAACTTGCTGGGATCATGAAGAACACTTTCCATCTTCTTCTCATAATCATTCCGATCGATCAGCACTGCTCCGGACCCCTTGTTAGGGCGTAAAACTAACAAATCAGGTCACAACTGTAGCTCTTCAATGGCGGATGTGAATGTGCTCAGGCGTGAAGAGTGACTTATGTTTGGACGATGTCATCCGGTACTGTCGTTCCAAGTCAACCAGCTTTGCTTTGAACCAAGTCTCCGCATCTTTTGAAGTTCGTTTGACTAATTGTAGTTGTTCGAATAGATATTCAAATTGCGCCTGTGTCTTTATGCTGGTCTTTTTACTCGGTGGTATGCAGAAACGTAGACCACACGAAAGAGCCTGTAGTTGAAGTTCATTCGTTTAACCGGAGACAAATTCTTCACAAACCTTTCTGGTTGTTTCGGAAAATTTGGTTCGACTAACTTGTGGACGATGGAATTCTGAAGCTTGTTGAATGTACAAAGTTTGGCTTCTCGTATGTTTTCCATGAACAAGTTGGTAAATTTGATTCGGCTAACGAGGCTCGGTTCGTCAAGAATTATTGATCATTCGATGCACGTGGTCTGAAGTGTCGTTAGATTTTCTTTATAATCATCAATCTGACATCGCATCAAACGTCTCAAATTCCTGGTAGAGGCACAGATTTTATTCCTCCGTAAGCGTTTGCAAAACGTAATCGGATATCTGTTGCAACGGGCACGTTGTTCCAGAAAATGAATACGGACTCGAGTTGTGGCAATTTCACATCTCAATCTGACTAGGTCATCGAGAGACCTAATGGTTGATTTCGGGAGACGAGATCTGAGGAAATTTAAACATGCTTTTCCCGAAATAGTCTTGAAAAGAAAAGCCACAGTTGCAACATTGCACGATTCGTGTCCGGGACGATTTCGCTGCATCTGAACATGGTGCACACTGCACAACCATACTGCTTACATAAGTTCATGTAAAACCATAATTTTCGACAAATATAGGGGAAATTTCAATAGTCAAGTTACGTTACCATGATAAAGACACATGAACAAAGAGCTGTTTGTGCTGACACAATATTAGGTTTCCATGAATGTATGGCAATGGTTTGAACAAACCTCAAAAGCCTAGTATTTTTTGCCACGTAAATGACCCGAAACGCAGTGCTTCGGTCAGCTGGATGTTGCGTCATCAGAAGATGACGAGCGACGGCCGACGGCCGACGGCCGACAGCCGACGACGGGATCTTATGGTTTCGAACGTTGTCATTATGCCTTTGATCTGACCCTGATTGCATCACAAAACGTTGTACCCAATTTGGAATATATTCAATCACTCGGTTACGTAACTGGCGCTCTGTTCGACCCACGTAGGTTGCTTCGCAACTACACTGAAATTGGTAAATCAGATTCGATTTGGTGTACAGAGGTGGACGTTGTTTCACCGAGGGTGTGGGGATCTCAATCGTTCGATGAATAATTCTGAGGTCAGGTGCATAATATTTGTTCTGGGCAAGCGCTGATCCAAGTGGTCGTTTGAGCAAGCAATTGATGTCATCACGTATGAATGGAAGACAAAGGGTGACTAGTAGTTTTTCTGCTGAACAATTCGTTTGTCTGATCAATTTAGGCTTGCTGTGCTTTTCGATAAACGCATCGGGATAAGCGTTCCTAGTCAAAGATTCTTTCAGCTGTCGTAGTTCGTTGTCAATCATGTCTTCTGTGCAGATATGTCGTGCTGTTTGAAATAGTGTTCGGACCAGACCACGTTCATATTCCACAGACACAAAGCTGTCAAATTGCAAGCATTGGCCTGTCCAAGTTTCTTTTCGGTAAACAGATCTGGCCATTGTTCCATCATTATTCCTAGTGATTTTAATGTCGAGGAAGTGCAGTGTATCTTCGATTTCTTTTTCCATCGTAAATCGTATATTCGGATGCAGGCGATCGAGTTTATCCATAATCCATGTTGTCTCTTCTAGACTTATTGTGATGACTAGAACATGATCAACGTATCGTTTATAAAGTTGTGAACGTTCGAGGATTTTGCTCGCCTTTTCCTCAAGATGAGCCAAAAACATATGTGCCAGAATGGGGCTCAATGGAGTTCCGATTGCGACACCGTCAATTTGTCTGTAAGCCCAACCAAGGAAGGAGAACGATACGTTTGTTGTGCACAGTAGTAATTGTCGTACCAGAACTGATACTGGTATACCGATTTTCAGTTGGTTTTGCTCCACATGATCACACATGATACGTATGACCTCCCGACCGGGAACATTCGTAAACAGTGATTGGAAATCAAATGAAGCCATGTGCTTCCCTTTCACATTGATCTGGTCCAAAAGCTTTACCACTTCGAAACTGTCTTTTTTATAGTGTGTCTGACCATTGATTTATGAACTGGCTCAAGCAATTTCTCCAGCCATTTGGCCAATTCGTGTTGTGGTGAATTTGTCATAGATAGTAGTAGTATTGGTCCAAGTGGCACTCCGGGTTTGTTTAGTTTCGGTAAACCATACAGTTGTGCACTTCGAGTTCCTTTTGGCTTCAGATGGTGAGCTGTGCTTTCATCGATGAAGTGTCCTTCTAGTAGAAACTGTACTGCGGTCGATATCTGTTGTTCTAATTCTTTAGGGTCTTCACAGTCATCTTCGAGTACAAACTTGCTGGGATCATGAAGAACACTTTCCATCTTCTTCTCATAATCATTCCGATCGATCAGCACTGCTCCGGACCCCTTGTTAGGGCGTAAAACTAACAAATCAGGTCACAACTGTAGCTCTTCAATGGCGGATGTGAATGTGCTCAGGCGTGAAGAGTGACTTATGTTTGGACGATGTCATCCGGTACTGTCGTTCCAAGTCAACCAGCTTTGCTTTGAACCAAGTCTCCGCATCTTTTGAAGTTCGTTTGACTAATTGTAGTTGTTCGAATAGATATTCAAATTGCGCCTGTGTCTTTATGCTGGTCATTTTACTCGGTGGTATGCAGAAACGTAGACCACACGAAAGAGCTTGTAGTTGAAGTTCATTCGTTTAACCGGAGACAAATTCTTCACAAACCTTTCTGGTTGTTTCGGAGAATTTCGTTCGACTAACTTGTGGACGATGGAATTCTGAAGCTTGTTGAATGTACAAAGTTTGGCTTCTCGTATGTTTTCCATGCACAAGTTGGTAAATTTGATTCGGCTAACGAGGCTCAGTTCGTCAAGAATTATTGATCATTCGATGCACGTGGTCTGAAGTGTCGTTAGATTTTCTTTATAATCATCAATCTGACATCGCATCAAACGTCTCAAATTCCTGGTAGAGGCACAGATTTTATTCCTCCGTAAGCGTTTGCAAAACGTAATCGGATATCTGTTGCAACGGGCACGTTGTTCCAGAAAATGAATACGGACTCGTGTTGTGGCAATTTCACATCTCAATCTGACTAGGTCATCGAGAGACCTGATGGTTGATTTCGGGAGACGAGATCTGAGGAAATTTAAACATGCTTTTCCCGAAATAGTCTTGAAAAGAAAAGCCACAGTTGCAACATTGCACGATTCGTGTCCGGGACGATTTCGCTGCATCTGAACATGGTGCACACTGTACAACCATACTGTTTATATAAGTTCATGTAAAACCATAATTTTCGACAAATATAGGGGAAATTTCAATAGTCAAGTTACGTCAACATGATAAAGACACATGAACACAGAGCTGTTTGTGCTGACACAATATTAGGTTTCCATGAATGTATGGGAATGGTTTGAACAAACCTCAAAAGCCTGGTATTCTTTGCCACGTAAATGACCCGAAACGCAGTGGTTCGGTCAGCTGGATGTTGCGTCATCAGAAGATGACGAGCGACGGCCGACGGCCGACGGCCGACAGCCGACGACGGGATCTTATGGTTTCGAACGTTGTCATTATGCCTTTGATCTGACCCTGATTGCATCACAAAACGTTGTACCCAATTTGGAATATATTCAATCACTCGGTTACGTAACTGGCGCTCTGTTCGACCCAAGTAGGTTGCTCCGCAACTACACTGAAATTGGTAAATCAGATTCGATTTGGTGTACATTGGTGGACGTTGTTTCACCGAGGGTGTGGGGATCTCAATCGTTCGATGAATAATTCTGAGGTCAGGTGCATAATATTTGTTTTTGGCAAGCGCTGATCCAAGTGGTCGTTTGAGCAAGCAATTGATGTCATCACGTATGAATGGAAGACAAATGGTGACTAGTAGTTTTTCTGCTGAACAATTCGTTTGTCTGATCAATTTAGGCTTGCTGTGCTTTTCGATAAACGCATCGGGATAAGCGTTCCTAGTCAAAGATTCTTTCAGCTGTCGTAGTTCGTTGTCAATCATGTCTTCTGTGCAGATATGTCGTGCTGTTTGAAATAGTGTTCGGACCAGACCACGTTCATATTCCACAGACACAAAGCTGTCAAATTGCAAGCATTGGCCTGTCCAAGTTTCTTTTCGGTAAACAGATCTGGCCATTGTTCCATCATTATTCCTAGTGATTTTAATGTCGAGGAAGTGCAGTGTATCTTCGATTTCTTTTTCCATCGTAAATCGTATATTCGGATGCAGGCGATCGAGTTTATCCATAATCCATGTTGTCTCTTCTAGACTTATTGTGATGACTAGAACATGATCAACGTATCGTTTATAAAGTTGTGAACGTTCGAGGATTTTGCTCGCCTTTTCCTCAAGATGAGCCAAAAACATATGTGCCAGAATGGGGCTCAATGGAGTTCGGATTGCGACACCGTCAATTTGTCTGTAAGCCCAACCAAGGAAGGAGAACGATACGTTTGTTGTGCACAGTAGTAATTGTCGTACCAGAACTGATACTGGTATACCGATTTTCAGTTCGTTTTGCTCCACATGATCACACATGATACGTATGACCTCCCGACCGGGAACATTCGTAAACAGTGATTGGAAATCAAATGAAGCCATGTGCTTCCCTTTCACATTGATCTGGTCCAAAAGCTTTACCACTTCGAAACTGTCTTTTTTATAGTGTGTCTGACCATTGATTTATGAACTGGCTCAAGCAATTTCTCCAGCCATTTGGCCAATTCGTGTTGTGGTGAATTTGTCATAGATAGTAGTAGTATTGGTCCAAGTGGCACTCCGGGTTTGTTTAGTTTCGGTAAACCATACAGTTGTGCACTTCGAGTTCCCTTTGGCTTCAGATGGTGAGCTGTGCTTTCATCGATGAAGTGTCCTTCTAGTAGAAACTGTACTGCTGTCGATATCTGTTGTTCTAGTTCTTTAGGGTCTTCACAGTCATCTTCGAGTACAAACTTGCTGGGATCATGAAGAACACTTTCCATCTTCTTCTCATAATCATTCCGATCGATCAGCACTGCTCCGGACCCCTTGTTAGGGCGTAAAACTAACAAATCAGGTCACAACTGTAGCTCTTCAATGGCGGATGTGAATGTGCTCAGGCGTGAAGAGTGACTTATGTTTGGACGATGTCATCCGGTACTGTCGTTCCAAGTCAACCAGCTTTGTTTTGAACCAAGTCTCCGCATCTTTTGAAGTTCGTTTGACTAATTGTAGTTGTTCGAATAGATATTCAAATTGCGCCTGTGTCTTTATGCTGGTCATTTTACTCGGTGGTATGCAGAAACGTAGACCACACGAAAGAGCCTGTAGTTGAAGTTCATTCGTTTAACCGGAGACAAATTCTTCACAAACCTTTCTGGTTGTTTCGGAAAATTTGGTTCGACTAACTTGTGGACGATGGAATTCTGAAGCTTGTTGAATGTACAAAGTTTGGCTTCTCGTATGTTTTCCATGCACAAGTTGGTAAATTTGATTCGGCTAACGAGGCTCAGTTCGTCAAGAATTATTGATCATTCGATGCACGTGGTCTGAAGTGTCGTTAGATTTTCTTTATAATCATCAATCTGACATCGCATCAAACGTCTCAAATTCCTGGTAGAGGCACAGATTTTATTCCTCCGTAAGCGTTTGCAAAACGTAATCGGATATCTGTTGCAACGGGCACGTTGTTCCAGAAAATGAATACGGACTCGAGTTGTGGCAATTTCACATCTCAATCTGACTAGGTCATCGAGAGACCTAATGGTTGATTTCGGGAGACGAGATCTGAGGAAATTTAAACACGCTTTTCCCGAAATAATCTTGAAAAGAAAAGACACAGTTACAACATTGCACGAGTCGTGTCCGGGACGATTTCGCTGCATCTGAACATGGTGCACACTGCACAACCATACTGTTTATATAAGTTCATGTAAAACCATAATTTTCGACAAATATAGGGGAAATTTCAATAGTCAAGTTACGTCACCATGATAAAGACACATGAACAAAGAGCTGTTTGTGCTGACACAATATTAGGTTTCCATGAATGTATGGCAATGGTTTGAACAAACCTCAAAAGCCTGGTATTCTTTGCCACGTAAATGACCCGAAACGCAGTGGTTCGGTCAGCTGGATGTTGCGTCATCAGAAGATGACGAGCGACGGCCGACGGCCGACGGCCGACAGCCGACGACGGGATCTTATGGTTTCGAACGTTGTCATTATGCCTTTGATCTGACCCTGATTGCATCACAAAACGTTGTACCCAATTTGGAATATATTCAATCACTCGGTTACGTAACTGGCGCTCTGTTCGACCCAAGTAGGTTGCTCCGCAACTACACTGAAATTGGTAAATCAGATTCGATTTGGTGTACATTGGTGGACGTTGTTTCACCGAGGGTGTGGGGATCTCAATCGTTCGATGAATAATTCTGAGGTCAGGTGCATAATATTTGTTTTTGGCAAGCGCTGATCCAAGTGGTCGTTTGAGCAAGCAATTGATGTCATCACGTATGAATGGAAGACAAATGGTGACTAGTAGTTTTTCTGCTGAACAATTCGTTTGTCTGATCAATTTAGGCTTGCTGTGCTTTTCGATAAACGCATCGGGATAAGCGTTTCTAGTCAAAGATTCTTTCAGCTGTCGTAGTTCGTTGTCAATCATGTCTTCTGTGCAGATATGTCGTGCTGTTTGAAATAGTGTTCGGACCAGACCACGTTCATATTCCACAGACACAAAGCTGTCAAATTGCAAGCATTGGCCTGTCCAGGTTTCTTTTCGGTAAACAGATCTGGCCATTGTTCCATCATTATTCCTAGTGATTTTAATGTCGAGGAAGTGCAGTGTATCTTCGATTTCTGTTTCCATCGTAAATCGTATATTCGGATGCAGGCGATCGAGTTTGTCCATAATCCATGTTGTCTCTTCTAGACTTATTGTGATGACTAGAACATGATCAACGTATCGTTTGTAAAGTTGTGAACGTTCGAGGATTTTGCTCGCCTTTTCCTCAAGATGAGCCAAAAACATATGTGCCAGAATGGGGCTCAATGGAGTTCGGATTGCGACACCGTCAATTTGTCTGTAAGCCCAACCAAGGAAGGAGAACGATACGTTTGTTGTGCACAGTAGTAATTGTCGTACCAGAACTGATACTGGTATACCGATTTTCAGTTGGTTTTGCTCCACATGATCACACATGATACGTATGACCTCCCGACCGGGAACATTCGTAAACAGTGATTGGAAATCAAATGAAGCCATGTGCTTCCCTTTCACATTGATCTGGTCCAAAAGCTTTACCACTTCGAAACTGTCTTTTTTATAGTGTGTCTGACCATTGATTTATGAACTGGCTCAAGCAATTTCTCCAGCCATTTGGCCAATTCGTGTTGTGGTGAATTTGTCATAGATAGTAGTAGTATTGGTCCAAGTGGCACTCCGGGTTTGTTTAGTTTCGGTAAACCATACAGTTGTGCACTTCGAGTTCCTTTTGGCTTCAGATGGTGAGCTGTGCTTTCATCGATGAAGTGTCCTTCTAGTAGAAACTGTACTGCTGTCGATATCTGTTGTTCTAGTTCTTTAGGGTCTTCACAGTCATCTTCGAGTACAAACTTGCTGGGATCATGAAGAACACTTTCCATCTTCTTCTCATAATCATTCCGATCGATCAGCACTGCTCCGGACCCCTTGTTAGGGCGTAAAACTAACAAATCAGGTCACAACTGTAGCTCTTCAATGGCGGATGTGAATGTGCTCAGGCGTGAAGAGTGACTTATGTTTGGACGATGTCATCCGGTACTGTCGTTCCAAGTCAACCAGCTTTGCTTTGAACCAAGTCTCCGCATCTTTTGAAGTTCGTTTGACTAATTGTAGTTGTTCGAATAGATATTCAAATTGCGCCTGTGTCTTTATGCTGGTCATTTTACTCGGTGGTATGCAGAAACGTAGACCACACGAAAGAGCTTGTAGTTGAAGTTCATTCGTTTAACCGGAGACAAATTCTTCACAAACCTTTCTGGTTGTTTCGGAAAATTTGGTTCGACTAACTTGTGGACGATGGAATTCTGAAGCTTGTTGAATGTACAAAGTTTGGCTTCTCGTATGTTTTCCATGCACAAGTTGGTAAATTTGATTCGGCTAACGAGGCTCAGTTCGTCAAGAATTATTGATCATTCGATGCACGTGGTCTGAAGTGTCGTTAGATTTTCTTTATAATCATCAATCTGACATCGCATCAAACGTCTCAAATTCCTGGTAGAGGCACAGATTTTATTCCTCCGTAAGCGTTTGCAAAACGTAATCGGATATCTGTTGCAACGGGCACGTTGTTCCAGAAAATGAATACGGACTCGAGTTGTGGCAATTTCACATCTCAATCTGACTAGGTCATCGAGAGACCTAATGGTTGATTTCGGGAGACGAGATCTGAGGAAATTTAAACATGCTTTTCCCGAAATAATCTTGAAAAGAAAAGCCACAGTTGCAACATTGCACGATTCGTGTCCGGGACGATTTCGCTGCATCTGAACATGGTGCACACTGCACAACCATACTGTTTATATAAGTTCATGTAAAACCATAATTTTCGACAAATATAGGGGAAATTTCAATAGTCAAGTTACGTCACCATGATAAAGACACATGAACAAAGAGCTGTTTGTGCTGACACAATATTAGGTTTCCATGACTGTATGGCAATGGTTTGAACAAACCTCAAAAGCCTGGTATTCTTTGCCACGTAAATGACCCGAAACGCAGTGCTTCGGTCAGCTGGATGTTGCGTCATCAGAAGATGACGAGCGACGGCCGACGGCCGACGGCCGACAGCCGACGACGGGATCTTATGGTTTCGAACGTTGTCATTATGCCTTTGATCTGACCCTGATTGCATCACAAAACGTTGTACCCAATTTGGAATATATTCAATCACTCGGTTACGTAACTGGCGCTCTGTTCGACCCAAGTAGGTTGCTTCGCAACTACACTGAAATTGGTAAATCAGATTCGATTTGGTGTACATTGGTGAACGTTGTTTCACCGAGGGTGTGGGGATCTCAATCGTTCGATGAATAATTCTGAGGTCAGGTGCATAATATTTGTTTTGGGCAAGCGCTGATCCAAGTGGTCGTTTGAGCAAGCAATTGATGTCATCACGTATGAATGGAAGACAAATGGTGACTAGTAGTTTTTCTGCTGAACAATTCGTTTGTCTGATCAATTTAGGCTTGCTGTGCTTTTCGATAAACGCATCGGGATAAGCGTTTCTAGTCAAAGATTCTTTCAGCTGTCGTAGTTCGTTGTCAATCATGTCTTCTGTGCAGATATGTCGTGCTGTTTGAAATAGTGTTCGGACCAGACCACGTTCATATTCCACAGACACAAAGCTGTCAAATTGCAAGCATTGGCCTGTCCAGGTTTCTTTTCGGTAAACAGATCTGGCCATTGTTCCATCATTATTCCTAGTCATTTTAATGTCGAGGAAGTGCAGTGTATCTTCGATTTCTGTTTCCATCGTAAATCGTATATTCGGATGCAGGCGATCGAGTTTGTCCATAATCCATGTTGTCTCTTCTAGACTTATTGTGATGACTAGAACATGATCAACGTATCGTTTGTAAAGTTGTGAACGTTCGAGGATTTTGCTCGCCTTTTCCTCAAGATGAGCCAAAAACATATGTGCCAGAATGGGGCTCAATGGAGTTCCGATTGCGACACCGTCAATTTGTCTGTAAGCCCAACCAAGGAAGGAGAACGATACGTTTGTTGTGCACAGTAGTAATTGTCGTACCAGAACTGATACTGGTATACCGATTTTCAGTTGGTTTTGCTCCACATGATCACACATGATACGTATGACCTCCCGACCGGGAACATTCGTAAACAGTGATTGGAAATCAAATGAAGCCATGTGCTTCCCTTTCACATTGATCTGGTCCAAAAGCTTTACCACTTCGAAACTGTCTTTTTTATAGTGTGTCTGACCATTGATTTATGAACTGGCTCAAGCAATTTCTCCAGCCATTTGGCCAATTCGTGTTGTGGTGAATTTGTCATAGATAGTAGTAGTATTGGTCCAAGTGGCACTCCGGGTTTGTTTAGTTTCGGTAAACCATACAGTTGTGCACTTCGAGTTCCTTTTGGCTTCAGATGGTGAGCTGTGCTTTCATCGATGAAGTGTCCTTCTAGTAGAAACTGTACTGCGGTCGATATCTGTTGTTCTAGTTCTTTAGGGTCTTCACAGTCATCTTCGAGTACAAACTTGCTGGGATCATGAAGAACACTTTCCATCTTCTTCTCATAATCATTCCGATCGATCAGCACTGCTCCGGACCCCTTGTTAGGGCGTAAAACTAACAAATCAGGTCACAACTGTAGCTCTTCAATGGCGGATGTGAATGTGCTCAGGCGTGAAGAGTGACTTATGTTTGGACGATGTCATCCGGTACTGTCGTTCCAAGTCAACCAGCTTTGCTTTGAACCAAGTCTCCGCATCTTTTGAAGTTCGTTTGACTAATTGTAGTTGTTCGAATAGATATTCAAATTGCGTCTGTGTCTTTATGCTGGTCATTTTACTCGGTGGTATGCAGAAACGTAGACCACACGAAAATGCCTGTAGTTGAAGTTCATTCGTTTAACCGGAGACAAATTCTTCACAAACCTTTCTGGTTGTTTCGGAAAATTTGGTTCGACTAACTTGTGGACGATGGAATTCTGAAGCTTGTTGAATGTACAAAGTTTGGCTTCTCGTATGTTTTCCATGCACAAGTTGGTAAATTTGATTCGGCTAACGAGGCTCAGTTCGTCAAGAATTATTGATCATTCGATGCACGTGGTCTGAAGTGTCGTTAGATTTTCTTTATAATCATCAATCTGACATCGCATCAAACGTCTCAAATTCCTGGTAGAGGCACAGATTTTATTCCTCCGTAAGCGTTTGCAAAACGTAATCGGATATCTGTTGCAACGGGCACGTTGTTCCAGAAAATGAATACGGACTCGAGTTGTGGCAATTTCACATCTCAATCTGACTAGGTCATCGAGAGACCAAATGATTGATTTCGGGAGACGAGATCTGAGGAAATTTAAACATGCTTTTCCCGAAATAATCTTGAAAAGAAAAGCCACAGTTGCAACATTGCACGATTCGTGTCCGGGACGATTTCGCTGCATCTGAACATGGTGCACACTGCACAACCATACTGTTTATATAAGTTCATGTAAAACCATAATTTTCGACAAATATAGGGGAAATTTCAATAGTCAAGTTACGTCACCATGATAAAGACACATGAACAAAGAGCTGTTTGTGCTGACACAATATTAGGTTTCCATGAATGTATGGGAATGGTTTGAACAAACCTCAAAAGCCTGGTATTCTTTGCCACGTAAATGACCCGAAACGCAGTGCTTCGGTCAGCTGGATGTTGCGTCATCAGAAGATGACGAGCGACGGCCGACAGCCGACGACGGGATCTTATGGTTTCGAACGTTGTCATTATGCCTTTGATCTGACCCTGATTGCATCACAAAACGTTGTACCCAATTTGGAATATATTCAATCACTCGGTTACGTAACTGGCGCTCTGTTCGACCCACGTACGTTGCTCCGCAACTACACTGAAATTGGTAAATCAGATTCGATTTGGTGTACATTGGTGGACGTTGTTTCACCGAGGGTGTGGGGATCTCAATCGTTCGATGAATAATTCTGAGGTCAGGTGCATAATATTTGTTTTGGGCAAGCGCTGATCCAAGTGGTCGTTTGAGCAAGCAATTGATGTCATCACGTATGAATGGAAGACAAATGGTGACTAGTAGTTTTTCTGCTGAACAATTCGTTTGTCTGATCAATTTAGGCTTGCTGTGCTTTTCGATAAACGCATCGGGATAAGCGTTTCTAGTCAAAGATTCTTTCAGCTGTCGTAGTTCGTTGTCAATCATGTCTTCTGTGCAGATATGTCGTGCTGTTTGAAATAGTGTTCGGACCAGACCACGTTCATATTCCACAGACACAAAGCTGTCAAATTGCAAGCATTGGCCTGTCCAGGTTTCTTTTCGGTAAACAGATCTGGCCATTGTTCCATCATTATTCCTAGTCATTTTAATGTCGAGGAAGTGCAGTGTATCTTCGATTTCTGTTTCCATCGTAAATCGTATATTCGGATGCAGGCGATCGAGTTTATCCATAATCCATGTTGTCTCTTCTAGACTTATTGTGATGACTAGAACATGATCAACGTATCGTTTGTAAAGTTGTGAACGTTCGAGGATTTTGCTCGCCTTTTCCTCAAGATGAGCCAAAAACATATGTGCCAGAATGGGGCTCAATGGAGTTCCGATTGCGACACCGTCAATTTGTCTGTAAGCCCAACCAAGGAAGGAGAACGATACGTTTGTTGTGCACAGTAGTAATTGTCGTACCAGAACTGATACTGGTATACCGATTTTCAGTTGGTTTTGCTCCACATGATCACACATGATACGTATGACCTCCCGACCGGGAACATTCGTAAACAGTGATTGGAAATCAAATGAAGCCATGTGCTTCCCTTTCACATTGATCTGGTCCAAAAGCTTTACCACTTCGAAACTGTCTTTTTTATAGTGTGTCTGACCATTGATTTATGAACTGGCTCAAGCAATTTCTCCAGCCATTTGGCCAATTCGTGTTGTGGTGAATTTGTCATAGATAGTAGTAGTATTGGTCCAAGTGGCACTCCGGGTTTGTTAAGTTTCGGTAAACCATACAGTTGTGCACTTCGAGTTCCTTTTGGCTTCAGATGGTGAGCTGTGCTTTCATCGATGAAGTGTCCTTCTAGTAGAAACTGTACTGCGGTCGATATCTGTTGTTCTAGTTCTTTAGGGTCTTCACAGTCATCTTCGAGTACAAACTTGCTGGGATCATGAAGAACACTTTCCATCTTCTTCTCATAATCATTCCGATCGATCAGCACTGCTCCGGACCCCTTGTTAGGGCGTAAAACTAACAAATCAGGTCACAACTGTAGCTCTTCAATGGCGGATGTGAATGTGCTCAGGCGTGAAGAGTGACTTATGTTTGGACGATGTCATCCGGTACTGTCGTTCCAAGTCAACCAGCTTTGCTTTGAACCAAGTCTCCGCATCTTTTGAAGTTCGTTTGACTAATTGTAGTTGTTCGAATAGATATTCAAATTGCGCCTGTGTCTTTATGCTGGTCATTTTACTCGGTGGTATGCAGAAACGTAGACCACACGAAAGAGCTTGTAGTTGAAGTTCATTCGTTTAACCGGAGACAAATTCTTCACAAACCTTTCTGGTTGTTTCGGAGAATTTCGTTCGACTAACTTGTGGACGATGGAATTCTGAAGCTTGTTGAATGTACAAAGTTTGGCTTCTCGTATGTTTTCCATGCACAAGTTGGTAAATTTGATTCGGCTAACGAGGCTCAGTTCGTCAAGAATTATTGATCATTCGATGCACGTGGTCTGAAGTGTCGTTAGATTTTCTTTATAATCATCAATCTGACATCGCATCAAACGTCTCAAATTCCTGGTAGAGGCACAGATTTTATTCCTCCGTAAGCGTTTGCAAAACGTAATCGGATATCTGTTGCAACGGGCACGTTGTTCCAGAAAATGAATACGGACTCGTGTTGTGGCAATTTCACATCTCAATCTGACTAGGTCATCGAGAGACCTGATGGTTGATTTCGGGAGACGAGATCTGAGGAAATTTAAACATGCTTTTCCCGAAATAGTCTTGAAAAGAAAAGCCACAGTTGCAACATTGCACGATTCGTGTCCGGGACGATTTCGCTGCATCTGAACATGGTGCACACTGTACAACCATACTGTTTATATAAGTTCATGTAAAACCATAATTTTCGACAAATATAGGGGAAATTTCAATAGTCAAGTTACGTCAACATGATAAAGACACATGAACACAGAGCTGTTTGTGCTGACACAATATTAGGTTTCCATGAATGTATGGGAATGGTTTGAACAAACCTCAAAAGCCTGGTATTCTTTGCCACGTAAATGACCCGAAACGCAGTGGTTCGGTCAGCTGGATGTTGCGTCATCAGAAGATGACGAGCGACGGCCGACGGCCGACGGCCGACAGCCGACGACGGGATCTTATGGTTTCGAACGTTGTCATTATGCCTTTGATCTGACCCTGATTGCATCACAAAACGTTGTACCCAATTTGGAATATATTCAATCACTCGGTTACGTAACTGGCGCTCTGTTCGACCCAAGTAGGTTGCTCCGCAACTACACTGAAATTGGTAAATCAGATTCGATTTGGTGTACATTGGTGGACGTTGTTTCACCGAGGGTGTGGGGATCTCAATCGTTCGATGAATAATTCTGAGGTCAGGTGCATAATATTTGTTTTTGGCAAGCGCTGATCCAAGTGGTCGTTTGAGCAAGCAATTGATGTCATCACGTATGAATGGAAGACAAATGGTGACTAGTAGTTTTTCTGCTGAACAATTCGTTTGTCTGATCAATTTAGGCTTGCTGTGCTTTTCGATAAACGCATCGGGATAAGCGTTCCTAGTCAAAGATTCTTTCAGCTGTCGTAGTTCGTTGTCAATCATGTCTTCTGTGCAGATATGTCGTGCTGTTTGAAATAGTGTTCGGACCAGACCACGTTCATATTCCACAGACACAAAGCTGTCAAATTGCAAGCATTGGCCTGTCCAAGTTTCTTTTCGGTAAACAGATCTGGCCATTGTTCCATCATTATTCCTAGTCATTTTAATGTCGAGGAAGTGCAGTGTATCTTCGATTTCTTTTTCCATCGTAAATCGTATATTCGGATGCAGGCGATCGAGTTTATCCATAATCCATGTTGTCTCTTCTAGACTTATTGTGATGACTAGAACATGATCAACGTATCGTTTATAAAGTTGTGAACGTTCGAGGATTTTGCTCGCCTTTTCCTCAAGATGAGCCAAAAACATATGTGCCAGAATGGGGCTCAATGGAGTTCCGATTGCGACACCGTCAATTTGTCTGTAAGCCCAACCAAGGAAGGAGAACGATACGTTTGTTGTGCACAGTAGTAATTGTCGTACCAGAACTGATACTGGTATACCGATTTTCAGTTCGTTTTGCTCCACATGATCACACATGATACGTATGACCTCCCGACCGGGAACATTCGTAAACAGTGATTGGAAATCAAATGAAGCCATGTGCTTCCCTTTCACATTGATCTGGTCCAAAAGCTTTACCACTTCGAAACTGTCTTTTTTATAGTGTGTCTGACCATTGATTTATGAACTGGCTCAAGCAATTTCTCCAGCCATTTGGCCAATTCGTGTTGTGGTGAATTTGTCATAGATAGTAGTAGTATTGGTCCAAGTGGCACTCCGGGTTTGTTTAGTTTCGGTAAACCATACAGTTGTGCACTTCGAGTTCCCTTTGGCTTCAGATGGTGAGCTGTGCTTTCATCGATGAAGTGTCCTTCTAGTAGAAACTGTACTGCTGTCGATATCTGTTGTTCTAGTTCTTTAGGGTCTTCACAGTCATCTTCGAGTACAAACTTGCTGGGATCATGAAAAACACTTTCCATCTTCTTCTCATAATCATTCCGATCGATCAGCACTGCTCCGGACCCCTTGTTAGGGCGTAAAACTAACAAATCAGGTCACAACTGTAGCTCTTCAATGGCGGATGTGAATGTGCTCAGGCGTGAAGAGTGACTTATGTTTGGACGATGTCATCCGGTACTGTCGTTCCAAGTCAACCAGCTTTGTTTTGAACCAAGTCTCCGCATCTTTTGAAGTTCGTTTGACTAATTGTAGTTGTTCGAATAGATATTCAAATTGCGCCTGTGTCTTTATGCTGGTCATTTTACTCGGTGGTATGCAGAAACGTAGACCACACGAAAGAGCCTGTAGTTGAAGTTCATTCGTTTAACCGGAGACAAATTCTTCACAAACCTTTCTGGTTGTTTCGGAAAATTTGGTTCGACTAACTTGTGGACGATGGAATTCTGAAGCTTGTTGAATGTACAAAGTTTGGCTTCTCGTATGTTTTCCATGCACAAGTTGGTAAATTTGATTCGGCTAACGAGGCTCAGTTCGTCAAGAATTATTGATCATTCGATGCACGTGGTCTGAAGTGTCGTTAGATTTTCTTTATAATCATCAATCTGACATCGCATCAAACGTCTCAAATTCCTGGTAGAGGCACAGATTTTATTCCTCCGTAAGCGTTTGCAAAACGTAATCGGATATCTGTTGCAACGGGCACGTTGTTCCAGAAAATGAATACGGACTCGAGTTGTGGCAATTTCACATCTCAATCTGACTAGGTCATCGAGAGACCTAATGGTTGATTTCGGGAGACGAGATCTGAGGAAATTTAAACACGCTTTTCCCGAAATAATCTTGAAAAGAAAAGACACAGTTACAACATTGCACGAGTCGTGTCCGGGACGATTTCGCTGCATCTGAACATGGTGCACACTGCACAACCATACTGTTTATATAAGTTCATGTAAAACCATAATTTTCGACAAATATAGGGGAAATTTCAATAGTCAAGTTACGTCACCATGATAAAGACACATGAACAAAGAGCTGTTTGTGCTGACACAATATTAGGTTTCCATGAATGTATGGCAATGGTTTGAACAAACCTCAAAAGCCTGGTATTCTTTGCCACGTAAATGACCCGAAACGCAGTGGTTCGGTCAGCTGGATGTTGCGTCATCAGAAGATGACGAGCGACGGCCGACGGCCGACGGCCGACAGCCGACGACGGGATCTTATGGTTTCGAACGTTGTCATTATGCCTTTGATCTGACCCTGATTGCATCACAAAACGTTGTACCCAATTTGGAATATATTCAATCACTCGGTTACGTAACTGGCGCTCTGTTCGACCCAAGTAGGTTGCTCCGCAACTACACTGAAATTGGTAAATCAGATTCGATTTGGTGTACATTGGTGGACGTTGTTTCACCGAGGGTGTGGGGATCTCAATCGTTCGATGAATAATTCTGAGGTCAGGTGCATAATATTTGTTTTTGGCAAGCGCTGATCCAAGTGGTCGTTTGAGCAAGCAATTGATGTCATCACGTATGAATGGAAGACAAATGGTGACTAGTAGTTTTTCTGCTGAACAATTCGTTTGTCTGATCAATTTAGGCTTGCTGTGCTTTTCGATAAACGCATCGGGATAAGCGTTTCTAGTCAAAGATTCTTTCAGCTGTCGTAGTTCGTTGTCAATCATGTCTTCTGTGCAGATATGTCGTGCTGTTTGAAATAGTGTTCGGACCAGACCACGTTCATATTCCACAGACACAAAGCTGTCAAATTGCAAGCATTGGCCTGTCCAGGTTTCTTTTCGGTAAACAGATCTGGCCATTGTTCCATCATTATTCCTAGTGATTTTAATGTCGAGGAAGTGCAGTGTATCTTCGATTTCTGTTTCCATCGTAAATCGTATATTCGGATGCAGGCGATCGAGTTTGTCCATAATCCATGTTGTCTCTTCTAGACTTATTGTGATGACTAGAACATGATCAACGTATCGTTTGTAAAGTTGTGAACGTTCGAGGATTTTGCTCGCCTTTTCCTCAAGATGAGCCAAAAACATATGTGCCAGAATGGGGCTCAATGGAGTTCGGATTGCGACACCGTCAATTTGTCTGTAAGCCCAACCAAGGAAGGAGAACGATACGTTTGTTGTGCACAGTAGTAATTGTCGTACCAGAACTGATACTGGTATACCGATTTTCAGTTGGTTTTGCTCCACATGATCACACATGATACGTATGACCTCCCGACCGGGAACATTCGTAAACAGTGATTGGAAATCAAATGAAGCCATGTGCTTCCCTTTCACATTGATCTGGTCCAAAAGCTTTACCACTTCGAAACTGTCTTTTTTATAGTGTGTCTGACCATTGATTTATGAACTGGCTCAAGCAATTTCTCCAGCCATTTGGCCAATTCGTGTTGTGGTGAATTTGTCATAGATAGTAGTAGTATTGGTCCAAGTGGCACTCCGGGTTTGTTTAGTTTCGGTAAACCATACAGTTGTGCACTTCGAGTTCCTTTTGGCTTCAGATGGTGAGCTGTGCTTTCATCGATGAAGTGTCCTTCTAGTAGAAACTGTACTGCTGTCGATATCTGTTGTTCTAGTTCTTTAGGGTCTTCACAGTCATCTTCGAGTACAAACTTGCTGGGATCATGAAGAACACTTTCCATCTTCTTCTCATAATCATTCCGATCGATCAGCACTGCTCCGGACCCCTTGTTAGGGCGTAAAACTAACAAATCAGGTCACAACTGTAGCTCTTCAATGGCGGATGTGAATGTGCTCAGGCGTGAAGAGTGACTTATGTTTGGACGATGTCATCCGGTACTGTCGTTCCAAGTCAACCAGCTTTGCTTTGAACCAAGTCTCCGCATCTTTTGAAGTTCGTTTGACTAATTGTAGTTGTTCGAATAGATATTCAAATTGCGCCTGTGTCTTTATGCTGGTCATTTTACTCGGTGGTATGCAGAAACGTAGACCACACGAAAGAGCTTGTAGTTGAAGTTCATTCGTTTAACCGGAGACAAATTCTTCACAAACCTTTCTGGTTGTTTCGGAAAATTTGGTTCGACTAACTTGTGGACGATGGAATTCTGAAGCTTGTTGAATGTACAAAGTTTGGCTTCTCGTATGTTTTCCATGCACAAGTTGGTAAATTTGATTCGGCTAACGAGGCTCAGTTCGTCAAGAATTATTGATCATTCGATGCACGTGGTCTGAAGTGTCGTTAGATTTTCTTTATAATCATCAATCTGACATCGCATCAAACGTCTCAAATTCCTGGTAGAGGCACAGATTTTATTCCTCCGTAAGCGTTTGCAAAACGTAATCGGATATCTGTTGCAACGGGCACGTTGTTCCAGAAAATGAATACGGACTCGAGTTGTGGCAATTTCACATCTCAATCTGACTAGGTCATCGAGAGACCTAATGGTTGATTTCGGGAGACGAGATCTGAGGAAATTTAAACATGCTTTTCCCGAAATAATCTTGAAAAGAAAAGCCACAGTTGCAACATTGCACGATTCGTGTCCGGGACGATTTCGCTGCATCTGAACATGGTGCACACTGCACAACCATACTGTTTATATAAGTTCATGTAAAACCATAATTTTCGACAAATATAGGGGAAATTTCAATAGTCAAGTTACGTCACCATGATAAAGACACATGAACAAAGAGCTGTTTGTGCTGACACAATATTAGGTTTCCATGACTGTATGGCAATGGTTTGAACAAACCTCAAAAGCCTGGTATTCTTTGCCACGTAAATGACCCGAAACGCAGTGCTTCGGTCAGCTGGATGTTGCGTCATCAGAAGATGACGAGCGACGGCCGACGGCCGACGGCCGACAGCCGACGACGGGATCTTATGGTTTCGAACGTTGTCATTATGCCTTTGATCTGACCCTGATTGCATCACAAAACGTTGTACCCAATTTGGAATATATTCAATCACTCGGTTACGTAACTGGCGCTCTGTTCGACCCAAGTAGGTTGCTTCGCAACTACACTGAAATTGGTAAATCAGATTCGATTTGGTGTACATTGGTGGACGTTGTTTCACCGAGGGTGTGGGGATCTCAATCGTTCGATGAATAATTCTGAGGTCAGGTGCATAATATTTGTTTTGGGCAAGCGCTGATCCAAGTGGTCGTTTGAGCAAGCAATTGATGTCATCACGTATGAATGGAAGACAAATGGTGACTAGTAGTTTTTCTGCTGAACAATTCGTTTGTCTGATCAATTTAGGCTTGCTGTGCTTTTCGATAAACGCATCGGGATAAGCGTTTCTAGTCAAAGATTCTTTCAGCTGTCGTAGTTCGTTGTCAATCATGTCTTCTGTGCAGATATGTCGTGCTGTTTGAAATAGTGTTCGGACCAGACCACGTTCATATTCCACAGACACAAAGCTGTCAAATTGCAAGCATTGGCCTGTCCAGGTTTCTTTTCGGTAAACAGATCTGGCCATTGTTCCATCATTATTCCTAGTCATTTTAATGTCGAGGAAGTGCAGTGTATCTTCGATTTCTGTTTCCATCGTAAATCGTATATTCGGATGCAGGCGATCGAGTTTGTCCATAATCCATGTTGTCTCTTCTAGACTTATTGTGATGACTAGAACATGATCAACGTATCGTTTGTAAAGTTGTGAACGTTCGAGGATTTTGCTCGCCTTTTCCTCAAGATGAGCCAAAAACATATGTGCCAGAATGGGGCTCAATGGAGTTCCGATTGCGACACCGTCAATTTGTCTGTAAGCCCAACCAAGGAAGGAGAACGATACGTTTGTTGTGCACAGTAGTAATTGTCGTACCAGAACTGATACTGGTATACCGATTTTCAGTTGGTTTTGCTCCACATGATCACACATGATACGTATGACCTCCCAACCGGGAACATTCGTAAACAGTGATTGGAAATCAAATGAAGCCATGTGCTTCCCTTTCACATTGATCTGGTCCAAAAGCTTTACCACTTCGAAACTGTCTTTTTTATAGTGTGTCTGACCATTGATTTATGAACTGGCTCAAGCAATTTCTCCAGCCATTTGGCCAATTCGTGTTGTGGTGAATTTGTCATAGATAGTAGTAGTATTGGTCCAAGTGGCACTCCGGGTTTGTTTAGTTTCGGTAAACCATACAGTTGTGCACTTCGAGTTCCTTTTGGCTTCAGATGGTGAGCTGTGCTTTCATCGATGAAGTGTCCTTCTAGTAGAAACTGTACTGCGGTCGATATCTGTTGTTCTAGTTCTTTAGGGTCTTCACAGTCATCTTCGAGTACAAACTTGCTGGGATCATGAAGAACACTTTCCATCTTCTTCTCATAATCATTCCGATCGATCAGCACTGCTCCGGACCCCTTGTTAGGGCGTAAAACTAACAAATCAGGTCACAACTGTAGCTCTTCAATGGCGGATGTGAATGTGCTCAGGCGTGAAGAGTGACTTATGTTTGGACGATGTCATCCGGTACTGTCGTTCCAAGTCAACCAGCTTTGCTTTGAACCAAGTCTCCGCATCTTTTGAAGTTCGTTTGACTAATTGTAGTTGTTCGAATAGATATTCAAATTGCGTCTGTGTCTTTATGCTGGTCATTTTACTCGGTGGTATGCAGAAACGTAGACCACACGAAAATGCCTGTAGTTGAAGTTCATTCGTTTAACCGGAGACAAATTCTTCACAAACCTTTCTGGTTGTTTCGGAAAATTTGGTTCGACTAACTTGTGGACGATGGAATTCTGAAGCTTGTTGAATGTACAAAGTTTGGCTTCTCGTATGTTTTCCATGCACAAGTTGGTAAATTTGATTCGGCTAACGAGGCTCAGTTCGTCAAGAATTATTGATCATTCGATGCACGTGGTCTGAAGTGTCGTTAGATTTTCTTTATAATCATCAATCTGACATCGCATCAAACGTCTCAAATTCCTGGTAGAGGCACAGATTTTATTCCTCCGTAAGCGTTTGCAAAACGTAATCGGATATCTGTTGCAACGGGCACGTTGTTCCAGAAAATGAATACGGACTCGAGTTGTGGCAATTTCACATCTCAATCTGACTAGGTCATCGAGAGACCAAATGATTGATTTCGGGAGACGAGATCTGAGGAAATTTAAACATGCTTTTCCCGAAATAATCTTGAAAAGAAAAGCCACAGTTGCAACATTGCACGATTCGTGTCCGGGACGATTTCGCTGCATCTGAACATGGTGCACACTGCACAACCATACTGTTTATATAAGTTCATGTAAAACCATAATTTTCGACAAATATAGGGGAAATTTCAATAGTCAAGTTACGTCACCATGATAAAGACACATGAACAAAGAGCTGTTTGTGCTGACACAATATTAGGTTTCCATGAATGTATGGGAATGGTTTGAACAAACCTCAAAAGCCTGGTATTCTTTGCCACGTAAATGACCCGAAACGCAGTGCTTCGGTCAGCTGGATGTTGCGTCATCAGAAGATGACGAGCGACGGCCGACAGCCGACGACGGGATCTTATGGTTTCGAACGTTGTCATTATGCCTTTGATCTGACCCTGATTGCATCACAAAACGTTGTACCCAATTTGGAATATATTCAATCACTCGGTTACGTAACTGGCGCTCTGTTCGACCCACGTACGTTGCTCCGCAACTACACTGAAATTGGTAAATCAGATTCGATTTGGTGTACATTGGTGGACGTTGTTTCACCGAGGGTGTGGGGATCTCAATCGTTCGATGAATAATTCTGAGGTCAGGTGCATAATATTTGTTTTGGGCAAGCGCTGATCCAAGTGGTCGTTTGAGCAAGCAATTGATGTCATCACGTATGAATGGAAGACAAATGGTGACTAGTAGTTTTTCTGCTGAACAATTCGTTTGTCTGATCAATTTAGGCTTGCTGTGCTTTTCGATAAACGCATCGGGATAAGCGTTTCTAGTCAAAGATTCTTTCAGCTGTCGTAGTTCGTTGTCAATCATGTCTTCTGTGCAGATATGTCGTGCTGTTTGAAATAGTGTTCGGACCAGACCACGTTCATATTCCACAGACACAAAGCTGTCAAATTGCAAGCATTGGCCTGTCCAGGTTTCTTTTCGGTAAACAGATCTGGCCATTGTTCCATCATTATTCCTAGTCATTTTAATGTCGAGGAAGTGCAGTGTATCTTCGATTTCTGTTTCCATCGTAAATCGTATATTCGGATGCAGGCGATCGAGTTTATCCATAATCCATGTTGTCTCTTCTAGACTTATTGTGATGACTAGAACATGATCAACGTATCGTTTGTAAAGTTGTGAACGTTCGAGGATTTTGCTCGCCTTTTCCTCAAGATGAGCCAAAAACATATGTGCCAGAATGGGGCTCAATGGAGTTCCGATTGCGACACCGTCAATTTGTCTGTAAGCCCAACCAAGGAAGGAGAACGATACGTTTGTTGTGCACAGTAGTAATTGTCGTACCAGAACTGATACTGGTATACCGATTTTCAGTTCGTTTTGCTCCACATGATCACACATGATACGTATGACCTCCCGACCGGGAACATTCGTAAACAGTGATTGGAAATCAAATGAAGCCATGTGCTTCCCTTTCACATTGATCTGGTCCAAAAGCTTTACCACTTCGAAACTGTCTTTTTTATAGTGTGTCTGACCATTGATTTATGAACTGGCTCAAGCAATTTCTCCAGCCATTTGGCCAATTCGTGTTGTGGTGAATTTGTCATAGATAGTAGTAGTATTGGTCCAAGTGGCACTCCGGGTTTGTTAAGTTTCGGTAAACCATACAGTTGTGCACTTCGAGTTCCTTTTGGCTTCAGATGGTGAGCTGTGCTTTCATCGATGAAGTGTCCTTCTAGTAGAAACTGTACTGCGGTCGATATCTGTTGTTCTAGTTCTTTAGGGTCTTCACAGTCATCTTCGAGTACAAACTTGCTGGGATCATGAAGAACACTTTCCATCTTCTTCTCATAATCATTCCGATCGATCAGCACTGCTCCGGACCCCTTGTTAGGGCGTAAAACTAACAAATCAGGTCACAACTGTAGCTCTTCAATGGCGGATGTGAATGTGCTCAGGCGTGAAGAGTGACTTATGTTTGGACGATGTCATCCGGTACTGTCGTTCCAAGTCAACCAGCTTTGCTTTGAACCAAGTCTCCGCATCTTTTGAAGTTCGTTTGACTAATTGTAGTTGTTCGAATAGATATTCAAATTGCGCCTGTGTCTTTATGCTGGTCATTTTACTCGGTGGTATGCAGAAACGTAGACCACACGAAAGAGCCTGTAGTTGAAGTTCATTCGTTTAACCGGAGACAAATTCTTCACAAACCTTTCTGGTTGTTTCGGAAAATTTGGTTCGACTAACTTGTGGACGATGGAATTCTGAAGCTTGTTGAATGTACAAAGTTTGGCTTCTCGTATGTTTTCCATGCACAAGTTGGTAAATTTGATTCGGCTAACGAGGCTCGGTTCGTCAAGAATTATTGATCATTCGATGCACGTGGTCTGAAGTGTCGTTAGATTTTCTTTATAATCATCAATCTGACATCGCATCAAACGTCTCAAATTCCTGGTAGAGGCACAGATTTTATTCCTCCGTAAGCGTTTGCAAAACGTAATCGGATATCTGTTGCAACGGGCACGTTGTTCCAGAAAATGAATACGGACTCGAGTTGTGGCAATTTCACATCTCAATCTGACTAGGTCATTGAGAGACCAAATGATTGATTTCGGGAGACGAGATCTGAGGAAATTTAAACATGCTTTTCCCGAAATAATCTTGAAAAGAAAAGCCACAGTTGCAACATTGCACGATTCGTGTCCGGGACGATTTCGCTGCATCTGAACATGGTGCACACTGCACAACCATACTGTTTATATAAGTTCATGTAAAACCATAATTTTCGACAAATATAGGGGAAATTTCAATAGTCAAGTTACGTCACCATGATAAAGACACATGAACAAAGAGCTGTTTGTGCTGACACAATATTAGGTTTCCATGAATGTATGGGAATGGTTTGAACAAACCTCAAAAGCCTGGTATTCTTTGCCACGTAAATGACCCGAAACGCAGTGCTTCGGTCAGCTGGATGTTGCGTCATCAGAAGATGACGAGCGACGGCCGACGGCCGACGGCCGACAGCCGACGACGGGATCTTATGGTTTCGAACGTTGTCATTATGCCTTTGATCTGACCCTGATTGCATCACAAAACGTTGTACCCAATTTGGAATATATTCAATCACTCGGTTACGTAACTGGCGCTCTGTTCGACCCACGTACGTTGCTCCGCAACTACACTGAAATTGGTAAATCAGATTCGATTTGGTGTACATTGGTGGACGTTGTTTCACCGAGGGTGTGGGGATCTCAATCGTTCGATGAATAATTCTGAGGTCAGGTGCATAATATTTGTTTTGGGCAAGCGCTGATCCAAGTGGTCGTTTGAGCAAGCAATTGATGTCATCACGTATGAATGGAAGACAAATGGTGACTTGTAGTTTTTCTGCTGAACAATTCGTTTGTCTGATCAATTTAGGCTTGCTGTGCTTTTCGATAAACGCATCGGGATAAGCGTTTCTAGTCAAAGATTCTTTCAGCTGTCGTAGTTCGTTGTCAATCATGTCTTCTGTGCAGATATGTCGTGCTGTTTGAAATAGTGTTCGGACCAGACCACGTTCATATTCCACAGACACAAAGCTGTCAAATTGCAAGCATTGGCCTGTCCAAGTTTCTTTTCGGTAAACAGATCTGGCCATTGTTCCATCATTATTCCTAGTGATTTTAATGTCGAGGAAGTGCAGTGTATCTTCGATTTCTGTTTCCATCGTAAATCGTATATTCGGATGCAGGCGATCGAGTTTATCCATAATCCATGTTG